GAGCGCTGCCTTCGCTGGTTAGGGCACATTCTCCGTCATCCACCACAGGAGTTGACGCATATTTCGTTATTTGCTAAACCGTGTGATGGTTGGCATCAAAAACGAAGTGAACCAATCAAGACCTGGATTGATACGGTCAGAAAAGATTTTGAACGTATAGGTGGACCAGCAATATATGAACTTAGACGATGGAAAAATGAATGGCTTCCATTACTGTCGATGATAGCATCAGACCGCACCACTTGAAAGTGTCTTATCCTTGTAGCCGTTGAAGCCAGCCTAACCAGTAATGGTAGAAACTATTAGAAGAGGAGTCCTTCGTTTAATTTTACACTTAGGTTTTAATAATTTTAGCCCATTAGTTCTTGCTGGATTCAAATTTAACCTAAAATTATAATATTTTGAACAATCTAGTTTAATATAAGCATACAGAATTTTATAAGTATAAATTTGTAAGTATAAATAAGTATAAATAAATTCTTGTTTAATATAACGAACTGAGAGAGAATCCAGGTTATAATGTAGAAGTTTTCTTTTATTATTAAAGTTATAATTATAATTAGGAGAGGCGTCGTATAAAATATTTTTGGAGTCCTTCGATTATTTTACTTGATTCACGATATCTTGGGGAAGAATATATTACTATGGTCAAGAAGTGGCCGAACGAACGTTTTGTACATTTGATAAAAAAACCTTCAGTTTTGTTCTTAAATGAACGAAAAATAAAATTTAGTATCTTTGAGGATTTTTTTACAATGGTACTGCAGTGAAAATCAAAGTCGAGATTTTCATCCATGATTATTCCAAGATCGGAAATGTGCAATACTCTTCTGATTCTGGTTATATTAATAAATTCTTTTGATTATATTAATAAAAAGATTAGGAAGATCGAATCCTTTAGACTTGATATAAAGAACGCTACATTTTTGAAAAGAAAGGGTAATTTGCCTGTCATATAGCCAGTTGGCTATTCTACTGAGGTCCTCCTGCAGTGGACTATTTGTTCTACCATAAGAATAATAAATTTTATGATAATCAGCATAAAGATAAATGGTAGAATTTACCACATTGGTGATATCATTTATATATAATAGAAAAAGTAATGGCACAATACAACTACCTTGTGGAACACCAGATTTAACAGGTGTTGTGTCAGAAAGAGTTTTATTGACGCATACGGCTTGGTGACGACCTTTTATGTAATCTGATACTTAGTTATAAAGGGTTCCAGTAATGCCATAACTATTAAGAGTGATCAATAATTTGCTATGGGAAACAGTACCAAAAGCTTTAGCCAAATTTAGATATATAATTGATCCTGTTTTTCCATTGTCAATTGATGCTGACCAATCGGAAAGATTTGCTAATATTTGTGAAAAAGTGGTTTTTTCTGTACAAAAGCTATGATGACAGGAGGAGGAAAAATTATTGGCAACAAAATAAGCAAGCAATTTGTTGCAGATCAACCTTTCGAGTACCTTGCTATCAATGCAAGTCAGACTAATAGGTCTATAATTAATAGGTCTATAATTAATTAGAAGGATCATAGGTGCTTCCTTTTTTGTGAATGGGAATTATAGGAAGTAATTTCCAAATTTTGGGATTAAGGCCAGGTTTCATGTCCTTATAAATTAAAAATAGAGAAAAACTCGAAACTGCGCATTTTTTATAAATTATTTGTGGAATATTATTGGGACCAGCCGAAATTGACGGCTTAAGTCTATTTAAGGCATCATAAACATCCAGTAGCATTATTTCAATCCACTCCCCAACCACCCTCCCTCGAGAGAAGACAACAAATTCGATTTACAACAACAAGACAAGAAGTTAAAACAAGAAGTATGAATATTATCAAATACACTGGAAAAATATTGATTAAATGCACTTGGAATATCAATATCAAAGGTGATCACACTATCATTATGTTGCAGAATTAATTATTTCTATTATTTATTTCTTTTATTTCTATTATATGACTATTTATTTCTTTTTCCGTCGTTTAAGCCCGTATATAGCTAGGCCATTCCCATATTCAACACCAGTTCTAACTGCACCAGTCTTGGTCTTGATGGATCCTTCTCGCTTTTAATACCATCGATTAGAAAATTTAGCGAGTATTAATGTTATTAATATAGATGAACTCAAGCAAGGATCAGAGTATGGTACTTCTTTATATTATTTCCGAAATCAATTTTTGTTGTAGTTATCGATACGCTATCTAAGGCTCTTGTATTTCTTCATAACAGTTAGTAAAAATGACTATGTCATCAGCGTCTTCAATATCTGCAATTCAATGCAGATCTCGATTGATTTGTATGTCTCTTGAGTGCTGGCAAACGATATCCATAATCCATTATGTCGCGTAGCTGAATCCATAATCTATTCAGCACAAGAGAAGCGAATGTTTTCAATTTCCAGAGATCACTAGTAGGCTGATCCTTATCAAAGTAAATCATCCCTCTTGGGGACTGAATTGCTCTGCTAAATCTCTGGTCATCTGATAATCAAGTTATTCTTTCTTCAATACTAGAGAGTACATCCGTTGAAGGTAAATTATGAAGAACGTTGGATAACATTCAGGTTTTAATTGATAGAAATTATTTCTTGTTTTATTGGCGGTTCGCATCTACTAACATATGGCTCGACGAGCGACGGGCTATACTAGTGTTGACGGACGATGGTGCATCATGGTTAAATTTAATCTTATAAAATTTTCTTCATCGTACAGAAAATCAGATAGTTCAAAGAAGCATATCATCTTGGATCATTTCATTAACATCTTGAATGGTTGTTTTATGAAAGAAGAAGAATAATTTCCAATTATCGCCTATTCCAGCTGATGTTTCCATATTCAAAGCCATATCATTCCCCAGTAACCGTTTGGTACCATTGCTGCATGCTTTAAAGTATTCAGTGTATGCTCTGGCAGCTTTTTTGGACGATTAGAAAGAGTTTGCGGCAACCAACTAACCAACTTCTGTGTTTCTAAATGACATAACCTAGTTAGATCAAATTTCGGAGAAATGCCTTTAATTGAGACCAATATTGATCTGCCGTCCCAGAAGTATCATTGATAATTCATTTTGAATAGCTTAAAATAAAATATTTCGAAATTTTTTAATCCGAGGTACTTAAAAGATGCCGGAGGATCCTGTTCCTTACACGTTGATAACTTTATGCGGATTTCGACTCGAACCATAACATCGTCTGATCCGTCGAGGTTGCCAGTTTCAGTACTTTGATAGTAATAGCCTGGAATCCATCCAATAACAATTGACCAGAATATTAATCTTTGGTTCATGAGATTAAATCTCTTCTTCGATGCGGGAAGTATAAATTGATAACAAAAAGTTCCCATTCTGCTGAATCAAAAAACGCTTTCCACTGGCGCACCTATGCTATATTTGCTATTCACAGTCTACTATAACTTTCTTATATATATTTCAACTTTCTCCGATATGTTTGTTACCTTTTGCGAGATAGTTAGCTGTAAAATTCTGCTTAAAAATAGCGATGGACAGAGAAATATAAATGAGCGAAATGTCGCTGAACATTGAATCACGTGTAGGCCACAAGGTCGTTAACCAGTTTGCACGCAAGAGAGTAGATCAAGCCTTCCCAGAAATGGCAATCGCTGTGCTACTCCGGCGCCTTATAGATCGCAAAAATAAAACTAACACTCGTACTCCAACCCAGCTATATAACGATTGCTCTAAATAGCGCAAAACCACTTGGGAATAGAATTACAAGTGGCTCCCCGGCAGCACCTCTGGATTTTATAAAATTTCATGATTTTACTTCAGGTTTACTTCTACTAAACACGGAGAAAGGCAAAACTCAAAATCAAAAATCAAAAATAAAGGAAAAAAGGAAAAGGAAATAAGGAAACACACTAAAATCCGAAATTTTTTTCAATATTATAGTTTGGAATACATAATTTACACAATCTAAATGTTGAAAACTTAAAAAATAAACGGAAACATTTTGATGGCTTACAATAGAGCTACAGCGATATGGAATTTGGACGAAATTCCGTGGAAATATATTCTTATTTAACTAAAAGGAAATAATTCATAACTTCACCTCGCAACTAATAAGAAAATCAGCAACCTACGAAATATATTTTAGATGCGCACCGGACACGTGGTTCACCTATTTCGAATGCTGCAACGGATCGTGTTGTAAAAGTCACCGCCTGTGGGTAAGGTAAGTAAACTTTTTTCTCCGCCAACTTCATTTCACTTCGTTTCCCCTCGACCACAAAACTGCTGCAATTACTGCACATATGAATTGCTCCGAGCTATTAAGCAAAAAAATTTAAAAAAAAACCAAAGATCGCTGCTTCGCAATTTTTGACAAAATGTTTTGCACAACATCGCCATATCAAAATAAGAAATTATGTAAAATGCAGTTAAACAAAGATTATTAAAATAAAAATAGAAATTTTTATTATATAAAATTTGAAAAACCAATGAAAAATTAAAACACCTGGACTGAATTCTTTTAAAGTATACAAAATGAAATAAAAAAAGAAATCTATGCAAAATCTATTTGAATTAAACGCATTAAATGCCAAAATAATAAAAAAAAATCACATTTTACAAACTTAATTTTAATTTAATTTTTTAAAATTCCAATTTTACAAATTTTAGGCCAGCGATAGTAGCTGTAAGCGCTTTTGCAATGGGAGCTTTTTTCGCAATGTGTTTTCAATGCCGGTAGACAGCAAGACTGATGGAAACCACCATTATTATAATTAATGCACTTATTTATCTCAATGACTAAAAAAAATGAAAAAAAGACGCCGAAATAAGTTTTAAAAAATAAGAAATGAAAATGGATCTACAATTATTCGTGAATAATAATTAAAAAAATCTTCTGCAACAAATTTGCTAAGAAAATATAATTCAACGAAAAAATGTGTTGTACGTACGAAGAGAGCGAAACGGCAGAAGGTAGAAGTAGTAATCATTTTTTATATTTATATATTTTTCTTTCTTTCACGTAATTATATCATCAAAGTTGCAAAATGACGAATAATCATCAAGAACAGCAGATGACGATGTATTTTGAAGTTGTTGCTGGTTTATATAATAACTACGCACAGTCGACTCCTAAAAAATTAATTTAAAAAAAAATTAAATTATCAAAAATTTAAAATAGATAAAGGAATATATGATAAGAATTTTACAGTGAAACCGTGCAACCGTGCAAAAAGTGGAAATATTTTTTTAATTTCATAAAATAATATAATTAATTTACCCAACATTCTAAGTAATCCGTTATTGACCTAAGCGAAGATCGCTGAAAACGCTCATAAATTATATTTTGTAGATCATCAAAATAGAATACATCTGCAAAAATTAAATTAAAAATGTTTTCTTCCCATTTTCATCAAACAATAAATAATAAGTTTTTGAACAAATAATAAAAGAGAAAAAATAAGAATACAGAAGAATAAAAAAAGAAAAACAGGCCTATATCCAAAGCAGGCCTGTCGACTGATACATTTCCAACGGGATATGTACTGGGAATTACCAAAAGTAATGGAGGTACAGAATATGAACCTAAAAATAGATAAAATTTCTTTCTTTAAATTTTTTTTTAAATTTAAATTTTTAAATTTAAACAAATTCTCAACCTTACCTTCCAATATTTACTTCCTCAAGAAGTAATGTATAGAGACAATAAATTTGAGCGAAGAAATTATTATTAGACGATTTTAAACTAATATCGCTAATTTTGCATAATGTTGCATTTTGAATAATTTTTGCGGTGAATAAAGTAGCAATAGTTTAAAACGACTTACGCAAGCTACATTTGACGATAATTGAGTGAGAATCAGATAAAGGCTGAATATTAGGATCAACTATGAAACGATCACTAAGCGAATGCAATTCACGGCGAGCAGCTTCAGGTAATTGATTTTCTACCTTGAAAAAGGAAAAAACAAATTTCAAAAATAAATAAACAAATAAATAAACAATAATAGATAAATAGGCCGGAAACATCAAATCACCTGCATCATGGTGCCGCTAGGCAAAGTTTCGAAAGTAATAGGCAAAAAATCGTCCATTACATAAAGATCCTCAACATTGCCACCATCCATTCCGCCACTACTATGGACGTTTTCAATAATTGGAGGAGGAACATCACATATGACTGGTGGTGGTGCCTACAAATTTAAAGAATTTGCTTACGATAAATATGAAGCAAATGATAACCCTTTAGAAATATTCTCAAAAAAACAACGATGAAAAAACAATGAAAAATAATAGCTCAATTTCGATGAAATAAATGCATTTTGTTTTAAAAGAAGAAAAGAGAATTACTATTTTTGGTGATATGTGATGAGCGGATATCTGTTGATGGAGCTGAGAATTAGAACGCACTGTAGAAGCAGGAGGATAAGGTGAATGTCGAGAATGTTGGTAGGATGCATGATCTAGCCGAGTCTGTATTGGTGGTTGCATTTGATGTGGTGAATGTATTTGAGCTATTGATCCGCTTTGCACAGCAGTTAAGCCAATAGGCAAAACGACTGAAGGACCATGAGGTGATGCTTGCTGTCCACCTATATTTTGCCATTGCTCTGCAGTCGAAGTCATATTGTTCCCTCTCTGCAGCTGTTCCCTGCAGTTACTTTGCGATTCGCCGTTTAATAAAACAGCATTCATTGCATCAACCAAAGGCTGTGGCTGGGATTGCGAAACTGAAGTTGCTGCTGCTCCAGACAACGGCACTTGTTGTAACTATAAAATTAACGATCAACAGAACAAATCTCTTTGTGCCACAACAAATCACATCACTTTGACGTACAGGTTTAATCCGGCTAAAAAGGCCGAATTATAACGATCGATACTTCACTCATTTAAGAAAAGTAATAGTTAAAAATTAATGGCAATTGGATCGGAAAATTCAGTGGGAACTATGGTAACATAATTTGTAGGATATATTTATAAGCATAATTATGATATACTCACTCATATAAAAATAATAAATATCAGAAGGTGCATAATACTTACCACCAGATCGCTTTTTTTGTAAATCCATGTTTCAATTTGTTTTAGATAATCTAGTGAAACTCGACTGAAAAGCATTATTATAATTATTATAATAGTTATTATAATTATACCAGCAAATAATTGTGCGTCACCGTATAAAAAAAAACAGTCAAATAAAAAGTGTTATTACTGTTATATAGCTATTATTACGTTATTATATAGAAAACATTATTTATTAAGAAAAAAAATAATCAACCGACAATTCTTTCAGGCTATCAGATTAAAATTTATGAGTGAATATATAATATACACTTAGAGTATATTTAAAACAAGTGCACAGTTATTGTTCTAATGATCTTCTAAATAAATAATTCTTTCCCAACTTTCTTCCAAATAAATAAAAATTCATTGAATTATATTGTATTATTCTCTATAGAAAAATAAATTTAATTTCACAAATAATCTCTTTAAAGCATAAAATTAAGCTATAAAAAACTTACGTGCGACCTTGCAGAACATTACAAATTTGATCAAACTTATTTGCAATTGCTTCCTGACCTTCTATACGATGTTTCTGCGCACGACATCTCAGTGGTTCGGTATAATGTTCCAGCATTCGTAATTTTTCCATGTATTGCAACTGAAAAAGAGGCAACAAATAATTTCAAAAATTTTCCAAAAGTTGACAATAATGAATAAAAATTCGAAAAAAACACATGATCGAAGCGATGGTAATAAAATTTGTCACATGAATTATTTTAGAACTAACTTGTTCATTTTGCTGTGAATTGGGAACATTTGATATCGACTGCTGTGGATCCATTATCATACTATTATTCATAACAATATTATTGACCAAAGTATGAGTTGTTGGAGGCGGCTGAGGACCGTAATGTGATGGACTGATCAAATTTTCCAAAATTCCTGACTGCTGTTGTAACTGTGACGAAGACTGTGGCGATGCAGCTAAAGCTGCACAAGAAGGATAAGACGTACTTGGTCGCTCCATATATGACCCAGAAGTTGGAGGAACATTACCATAAGTGGTTGGAGGAACGTATCCACCAAGAGGTTCATGCGCTGGTTTCCACATACGATTCATAATGGCACCTCGCTGTGCAATATTAGTGGCTGGAATATTCGGTTCTTGTTTACTCATTCTAGAATATATCTGGTGTGTAGGTGAAGGCTGTGTTGGAGATATAGTCGATGATGGTTTATTTAAGAGACCAAACTGTGACTGCTGTGGAACAGATGGATGGGCTACAGTACACTGTTGAAAACTCAGTTGATTACTACCACTGCTTAACACACCAGAAGATACAGGCAAAGACTGCAACATCGGTGGTGGTTGACCAAGCGGCGGAGCCTGATAACGCTCCTAAATAAATCAAATAAATAAAGCATATCCAGAATTTAATCAAAGAAAAACTGGCGAAATTTTAATTTTAAAAACGAACTACAACTGGTTGATGTTGCTGATGAGTAGGTTGAGGATCTGGTGGTGGCCTATAATCTTGCTGTGTTTGCTGTGTAAATTGTGAAGTTTGAAGAGCAGAAGATTTAGCTGGAAAATCAATGATCGTAAAAAAATTTTTTTAATATAAATACTGAATAAAAAAACAACAATTAATTGAGTGACAAATTAAAAAAAATTTACGGGCAATAAGAATTTCTGCAATTTATTTCTACAAATCTTCTTAAGAAAGGATTTTATCACTTTTATTTTCGTAGATTTCGTAGATCTTTCATACGATTTTATTCTATACATTATCCTTAATTTTTCATGACCTCATAACCCTTAAATATAAACCCTTATAACATTTCACACAATCTCATTCTTATTTTAAGAGACAAACTTTTTTCACAATATCTTTCATTGTAAATTTGTACGAACTTTTTTTATTCTAAGGGAACAAATAAAATTCCAACGACCAAAAAAAAATTAAGATGATAAGGCGATTAAATAATTTTTAAAACACGTTAAAAGCTAGAATTCTCGAAATTTGTGAAAAATGTCAGAAAACTAACAGTTACAATTGATAGCATTAATGACTTTCGCAATTGTTCGCATATATTCGTCTTTACTAACACATTTTTGAAAAACATATTCTTCCACCTAAAAATGAACAAATTTATTGACAAATTTAAATTTAAATTTATTGAAAATCAGATAAAAATGTTCGTTACAAAAAAATTTATAAAATATTAACATAATGATAGAAAATAAAGAAATTCAACAAATGAAACCATGAAGAACAAAAGACTTCGAATAGATCAATTTCTACCTGTCTAGCATCACCGGGAACTGGTAGATTTGGAGCATTTTGACGACTTCTGGCCAATTCCGGTTCCAATCGGTTAATAACATGATCCCTGAAACGTTGTGATGGCCAATCGTCATCACCCATTTGAATTTATCCCTCTCGCATTCGGCAATATCACTCACTAATACTATGTATGCTAAAAATTCTTTTCATAATTGGTTTGCTCTGACAATTTAATAAAATATTGGATCGCCGTGCTTCAAACGATGATACATGAAAAATATTTCTATTTCCATTAAAAACAATAGGCTAAAATCAACTCAACGCTATACTGAGTAATATGTTCCAAATATATTCGAAAGTAATACAAGTTATCAACAGGAATAGGAAAAAAATCAAATGGCTTCAGAAAATGAAAATTTCGTAGAAAATTTTGCCAAAAACATTTATCATCACAAACCGGTCGATTCGAAATGATTAAACTCTCAAACATATTCTCTTAAAACATTCAAAACTATAGCTAATCTAAATACCAGGCTGATCCACTGCCTTATAACATTGTGCCGAAATTAGTAGAAATCTTGAGTAATTCGAAAATTTTACGAAATAAATTGAAAAATAACATTATGAAAATATTCACCGAAGTGTATGTAAACATATCCTCACAAGCAACTAAAAATAAGTAAACATATGAATAATAACTATTTTATTCTTCGATAAATCATATAAAATTGAATAAAATATCCAGTAACAAGTGAGGAGATGCAACAGGAAAAAGGATTTCTATTTCCTCCCATCGAGTTTTCGGAAGAATCAATTAGTGATATTTAAAAAAGAGGAAATAAAAAGAAAAAGTAATGAGAGTAGAAAATATTAATTTTATAAAACATAAAATAATAGAAAAAATGGAAACATAATTTAAATTTTAAAACCATCGCCAATTTTATACAGCATCGTCAATTAGTATTCTACCCAACAAAAATCTTATATTTACAAACAATAAATAAACAAAAATGTATAAATCGATTTAACAATTTAATTACGATAAAGAGTTTCATCCTGTCGTTTTTTAATAACAAATGTACCCGGTTTGTGTTGCGCATCAGGATGATTTGCTAATTCAGGTGGACATGTCGATATTGGACTCTCTAACAGGCATTGTTTCAAATCGTAAAACACTTCCCGATCTTCTGGCGTTAAAAATGTTATTGCCTTACCATGTTTACCAGCACGTCCTGAAAATTGTTATGCCCATTATATACCACAAAAATTAAGGGAAAAGCTAAAAACAATAAAAAAATATTGAAAACATACAAACAAAAACTATAATTTATAATTAAAGTAGATGTAGGTTTTCATAGTTATTTTAAAACAAAAAAACAATCTACTCACCTAATCAAAACGACATAAATACTATTTTGTATAAGAAAAAGAAAAACGAAAGATTTAAAATCAAATCAGAAAAATTATCACTTATCAAAACTTACTGAAAATACCTGGCAGAACTATATAATTTAACTGTATAATTTCTTTAAAGCAAAGTAAAAATAAAAATAGCGAATTTTTCCCAGAAAAAAGATAAAAGCAAAATGATAAAATGATAAGGTGACTTTGTCACATAACTTTTTTGCGCTAAAGTGAAAGAAAACTGAATGGAACTTTCACTCAAAATTTTTTTTCCCAGCTTACATAATAATTTTGGAAATCATTTAAAATTTATCTAAGAAAGAACCTTTTTGCTCGGTTCAACTTTCCAGTTTTCCACTATGAGAAATGGTTATGCAATAAAAAAAACGAAGCAAAATCTCTAAACCGGTAATTTCCAAAATGACAAAAGTTGGTGTATGTGTGAGAGTATGTGTATATTTGCTTGAATAGCAGAAGTTGATTTATCAAGAGGAAACAATTCAGTCAAAAAAAGCGAAAATAAGAAAGCAATAATTCATCAATTAAAGAAAATAAATAAATTTTGCATTGAATTCAAACAGTTTAATCAACTATCGAATATCGAAAAAATCAATCAACTATAATTGATCAATAATTGATAACAACAATAAGAGTAAATAAAAATATTAATAATAATAATATTAATAAAAGTGATAAACAATAATAATAAAAGTTGGCTGACCATAGGCACGAAAGGCCAACCATTTTATCAAAAAGCCTCTGAAAACAGTTACCACACCAGATGAAAATACTAAATAGCGAAAAGTGAGACGAACAAATCAAATTATTTGTAAATAAAACAAAAATTTTCTTAAAAAAGTAAGAGTAATTTACTGATAGGTATGAATAAATAATTCTATCATAATTATAAATAATTAACAACCAGGTCGTCATCAAATAATCCACTGTTAACTAAAATTTGCTAAAATTATGCCCAATCAAACTTATCAATGAAAATGAGAAAATTCAAAATATATTTCATTTCTTCATTTAAAATTTTTAATGTTTATCATCAAAATACAAAAAGGTTAACATAAATCTATCAAAATTTAAAACTTAAAAATGTTTAAATTTGACAAAATTTGAAATTGACAAATTCAAAAAAATTTAAAATTTCTATTACTGCAATCGCTTCTAGAAACAAAGAAATTTTCAATTTTTTCAATTACATCATTCAATTCATAAATCTCCGACAATTGTAAACAGATTCCTTATATTTCTAAAATTGAATAGAATTTCTTACTCTAAAAGATTTCATCAATTGTGGCTTCGCTATTATGATAAGATGCTTTCATAGAAGAATCGCTAATAGATACCGTTCGTACCCCCTTTTTAATGCCGTTTATTTGAGGAACATATAGGAATCGGATCTATGATAGTTTGGCCTTAATCATAATAAAAGCAACAATGCGCGATCAAATCGTCACTATCACTGTTTACTGCCAAAATTAAATAAATTAAATAAAAAACTATAATAAATTAACTTTGTAAACAACGCGCCTCATATTATTTCTCTTGAAAAAAATCGAATAAAAAGCAAAATTATTTTTTACTTATTTAGAACTTATACATTTACATAGTTAATAACTTATTGTATGCATAATAAAAATGAAAAATTTTCTTAATCATGCAATAATAATTCCATAAGGAAATGAGTTCCAAAGAGTTTATGTAAAATTAATCCTACATCGATGATCGATGACTTCTAAAGCGCGTAATTTTGCTATAATACAAAATTTCGCTAGACATTTACAAAAAGAACTAGTTTCTCCTATCCTATAATTGCCAACACCGTTATTTAGCACTATTAATAATTTCAAATCCTGAGATAAAGAAATTTAAACATGCATGGATAAAATTTAGAGCTTGACTCGTCGATCTAAAGAGAAAGAGATTTTCCTATCCTCAGCATCCTTAATTTCAATAAAAAAAGATTAAACTGGTAAAAAAAAAGCAAATAAGAAAAACAAAAAATAATTTTAATAAATAATAATGAAAACAAAATAATTCGAAATTTTTTTCTATTTTTTTCATTTTTATTTTTTTCAAATTTATGATTAAAAAGTATTATTAAACTTTCGTAAATTTTTTTTCAATTGCAATAGAACGTTTTTCTTAAATTTATTTTATTTTTCGCTTGTCTGTCGTACTTAAGAAAGATGGTTCAGACGAAAAAAAATTTCTTTTTTAATCGCAAAGAAAAATTTTTTCAAATAAAAAAAGTTATAACCCGAATAGAAAAAATTTTGAAATTTAATAAATATTTTTTTTCTTGTTTAATTACGAAATCAAATTTAAAAACTAAAAAGAGAAATAGAAGCTCAAACTGTCATGCTGAAAGGTCGATTTCCTTACACAACAGAATTAACATAAGCCTATACCTAACATTAAATAAACCTAACATTAAAAAATTTATTTGTGTGGTTTTCGCAGTCTATTTATATTTCCATCGCCAAGTGAGTCCAGGCAAAAATGCCGAGCAAAAATTTACAACCGTACTAATAGCCGGCGAATCAACTTAACCATGATAAGCTTTAATTCATTTGCTTACTGAAACATTGAAAACGCTCTATAATTAATATATGTGCTCAAAATGCTCAAAAATAAATAAATTTAAAAAAGAGAAAATTGTCCAGAATTATCCAACAAAAGCTGTCGTAATTCACACAAAAAATTCAGTAAAAATGTTTGAGTTCTAAAAACACCTTCAAAAAACTTTTAAAGGTTTTGTCAAAAAAACTTTTTTATGAGCCAAAAAACTTTAGAAAATATCCATCTTAATATTGGCAAAAAAAGAAAGAAGTGGTCCTGACAACTAAGTTCATTCGAATGGAGAGTACTTTTGAAAATATCGATGAAAAGTTCTTTCTCTCTCTCCCCCTTTAACAAAATATAATATATACAAAAAATACAAGAAAAAAATACAATAACTAAAATAAATTACTAAACGATAACCAAATGATGATAATGCTACATAATTTTTTGTCAAAAATATTTATTTATAAATAATATAGATTTTATTAACAATTAAGTAAATAGCTAGTACTTACCACTTCAGGCTAGGCTTACTCAAATGATGGAATGACAATTTCGCCCAAGAGTATTTAAGCAAAGGGATAAGTATAAGGGATAAGGGATAAGGGATAAGGGATAAGGGATAAGTTATATCCCTAGCATCCTTCGGATTTTTAAAGATGGGTTTACTTTTGCTATTAATAGATAAAATGGCAAAAATAATCTAAGCAAGACGCATCGCTGGACGATACTATGGATAACATAATCCATTCACTAATGATTACCACTGAATAAACTTAAATTAAAAAATTAAGATGAAAAGATGAAAAAATCTAAAAGGGAAAAAAATAAAAACAGTAGGAGAAAACCAATAGCAAAAAATTTCCAATCAAAGACTGACAAATAGTAAAACATCATTCATAAAATCAGTATTTCAAAATCTTTTGGGGCCTAATTGATCGATTAAAACTACAGTTTAAGTCCGGTTTTTCAACTTTTTGATGGTCCAACCGATTTCCACAGCAAAAACAGCAATCAGCAATCAAATTTGCTTTCTACTACTTATATATTACAAGTTACAAGTAAGCAAATTAATTACCTGTTCGTCCTATTCGATGAGTGTAATCTTCAATTGTTTTAGCCATATCATAATTAAGAACAAGCGAGACATCCTTTATATCAATACCTCGACCAGCAACATCTGTTGCTACAAGAATATCTCTCGTACCATCCTTTAGAGCTGCCAAAGAATACTCTCGTGCATCTTGTCCTTTGCCACCATGTAATACACACGGTGCAAAACCCAGTTTTGTAAGACCTTTAGCAAGCATATCTGCACCCTACATAGAAATAAATTTAAAACTATACAGAACAGTGGTAAATGAAAAAATAAAAAACATTTTAGATTTTTAAGCTTGTTCTCACTTGAATAACTTGATTGTTTAAGCATAAAATTTCTATCAATTTAACAAACTCTTTTTTGATTGACGAATATAATTATTGGCGGTTCAAAAGCATCTGAGGAAATGATTTCAACAAGCTTTTTACGCTTATTTTCTTCACCAATCATATAAACAATCTGTTCAACGCGTTCAGTTGGTCGACCTATTGAACCTATGTAAACAACTGCTGGCCTTCTTAAGTACGCCCTTGCCAGTCGTTCAATAGCAGGACTCATTGTTGCCGTGAACATCACTGTCTAAATTAATTACTAAAGAAATGAAAAGTTTATTGATTCTTATACTAATTGATTCATATGTTATTGATTGTTTATTCATCTTTAATGAAAGGCAATGATATAATTAATGCCTGGCGATATTTCTTCTTGGTGAAAAAATTTTCCATAATCGCTTCTTCTTTTTCTGCATCTTCTGTGTCTGGCTTTAAATTTGTCACTGGAATGTACTCCAAAACCTAAAAAATAATTGTCGTAAAATGTATAATCCATGCCTATAACTTTTACTATGTTCTGCTAGAAGTGAAGAAAATAGATATGTAAAATATCTACAATACGAATCTTATTTTTGAAACCTTTTGTACTTCAGGTTCAAAACCCATATCGAGCATGCGATCCGCTTCATCCAATATGACATATGTACACTGATCAAGTGATAAATATCGATTTTCTAGAACATCAAGTAAACGACCTGGGGTGGCAATCACCACCTTAAAAAACGACAATTTCAAAAACATTTGAAAAAAATATTAATTTATCATACTAAAAAGTATCTTTTGCAACTGTTAAAATAATTTTACGAAAAAAAAATTACTTCAACGCCAAGACGAAGCTTAAGGCCTTGTTCCTCACGTGATGCTCCACCAATAACTGAAACTGTACGAATTCCTAATAACTGACCAAATTTGACTGTTTCTTCTTCAATCTGCTGAGCAAGTTCACGAGTTGGTGCCATAATTATGGCGTATGGTCCCTTAAAAAGAGTATAGCTTGGCCCATTATTTTAATTAATCTAATTTAGACTAAAAAATTAGAAAATTAAAAAAATCGATGAATATAAAGTAAAAAATAAACAAAGAAGTGGTATACAGCAATAAGCAATAAGCAATATTCTGTAGAAATGCGCTTATAAAATATTTTACAAAAATTGGATTTGGACAATCAAATTATAATGTAAATAAAAGGAAATACCGAGTCTTGTTCTTCACTGATTTGAATTTTAGGCAAGGAAGTTATCCATACTAAAAGCGGTATAAGAAATGCAGCTGTTTTACCAGAACCTGTTTCAGCTACTCCAATAATATCACGGTTCTGAAGACCAATAGGAATAGCTTGCCTTTGTATAGGTGTTGGTTCCTCAAAATAACAAATATAACTTGTTTTAAGCATAGAATTTTGAAAATTCTTTAAAATTAAGAAATAACCTTGTAACCAATTTTTAATATAACATCATAAACTTCTTTTGGTAAACTGGCTTCCTCCCATGAACGAAACGGCTTCGGTACCCGACCTCCTTTAATTGCAATATTAAAATCTTCACGAAATATGCGCCAATCTCTTTCGTTCATTTGCTCTAAAGACTTTTGAGACCAATGTCGATTATCGAATGCCTCTTTCTTCGCCTTTTTCTTCACACCTTCCAATCTAAAAATGAATTATAAAAATAAAAAAAAAATTTTGGTAATAAATTAATAAATCAAGCCTAAGTTCTGCTTGTTGTTTCTCTTCTTTCGTTCGCCGTTTTTCCATTAAATTTGCATAAAACTCGGATTTCTGCTTTTTCTGTGCATTGACATCCATACCAGCAATAGAACCACGGCCGAAGAACTGCACTTCATGTCGCTTAAATGTTTATATTATAAATCAAAAGTAAACTTATTTAATCAATGCTTATAAATTAATCTTCTTAATAACAAAGAATGAATAAACGCAAAAAGCGTTAGCGTTATGAACTAAAGCTATTGTCCAAAAGGGGAGAATAATGGATGGAAAATGATAATCTTAAACATGATCAACATTAATCACGACCAAAGTAAAACGAATGCCTAGCTGAAAACAGTTGCTTGTTTAAAATGATAACGAAAAAAATTTTTTTGAAAAAAATGCGTATAAATCCAATCCATATAGAACACTACTGTTGGAACATCAGTAAATGAGAGATATTTTTTTTGAACCTTTCGATAAAACCAATTATTTTTCACAATAAAACATTAAATATTGTCAATAAAACAGAAAAATAATGAAATATAATGAAAATAATGAAATAATGAAAAATAATAAAAAAAAGAAAATCAGCATAACGATAAAGCACAGAAAATCAATTTTTCCAAAAATTGTATAAAAAAAAATTTAAAAGTAAATAAAACAAATTTTAAAGAAACATGCAACGAACATTTTGATATAATTTGTTATAATCATTTGATGTGTCCTCTCCAGCATCCCAATCAAAAATAAATTTTCGTTCATGAAGGCGACGACCACGTTTACGTTTTTCACGTTGACCACCTATAAATTTGCTGTGTTATCTTTAAATTAGAAGTATGTGGTTAGCACTCACCATTTATGATTATGCTAGCTTCACTGGCCGCTAGTACCAAAAATTTTTTCCAGGAAGTCCTTTATAGAAAGTTTTGCGCTTGCGAAGGATATAAAAAAATGAGTCGCTCTCTAGTACCATTCGGATTTTTTAATGGCAGATTTACTCCCATCACGAGTAGAGGAAGAATTCCCAATATGATTATCTAAACTACTATTCATTTGCTTCATCTGGGCTATTTCGAAGCAATAAATAAATAAAGAATTTTTTCTGTTCAATTTTCATGAAATGACAAGATATCTTTCTGAAATAAAAAAAAGGTGATGAAGATAAGACATTGCCATGTTTTTCTCATCAAAAAATTCGTTTAAACATTGCGCGAATTCTTTTTTTGCAAAAAATCGAAATTCAATCGAAGCAACAGGCAACGACCAACAGCGATGTGACCGCTGATGAATTCATTCGTAAAGTCACATTAAATAAGCATTATTCAATGTTGAATAAAGAAATATATGCAAAGCGTTTAAATCAATTCTCACATTTCTAATTTTATATTTTCATTCATATTTTTATAAATTTTGAAGATCTATTTATTTATTTACCGCTATTATTTGAACCTGAGTAGTCGAGTGCATGGTAATTTATATTTTTGTCTCATGATATATTTCTTTTGCCACATATTGTACAAGACAATTCTCTAGCAAAAACTTCTAACCACAGTAAACTTCTAACAGACAGCAAAGCTAGCCCAACCAGAAAATACTGAACCAGTTAATTTATTTCAACAAGTTGAAGACATAAAAATAAAAGAAACACCTAAATACCGTTGGCGGATTGCTTCATTTAATTTTTCCAAATCTCGATCTGTTTCTTTATCCTCTTTCACTTCATTGTCTCCATCCTTTTCCTCACGGTTAGTTCGTCTTTCACGACTTCTACTACGACTTCTTCGACCTTAAAAGACTTTACCGTTTCATTTAAAATTCATTTCAAGCAAAAAGCGATAAGAATTTTCTCACTATCATGTTCTCGACTTCGACTTCGTCTTCTTTCCTTCTCACGTTCAAAATCTTTATCTCTTTCTCGATCTCGATCACGTTGATCACGACGTTCACGATCACGATCTCGATCTTTTTCTATAAAAAAATCTTTCTAAATGGAGAAAAAAGTAACTCATGAAAATTAATTTTTAACAACTACTTTAGAAAAAAAATTTTATCGCTCTATCAAGATTTATCCGAAAAAAATAATTACGAAAACGATAAACGAATTTAATTAGACAAAAAAATTCGGTTATATTTGATGATGAAATTTTTCTGCATTTTAATTAATTAATTTCAATTTCTAAAGGAAGCATAAAAAAATTTTTTTCAATAGAAATATAAATATTACACTTGTAAAACATAACTTTCATCAAAATTAGCAAAAAATAAACCATGTTTTTTAGCATTTTGTAAAAACGCTTTTCTCTTTTCAATTAAATCACGTTGTGTTTCACGTTGTCGTGCAACTTCTTCTTCACGTTTCTTTAACGCTAATGCTTCACGTTCTTGACGAGTTAAAAACCTTGGCTTAAATTTCATCATTTAATAAAGATTAAAATCAATATTTTTAAATAACAATAAAAATAATACTGCTAATAATATTTAAAAAAAGATCGACCTTATTTACAAAAAACTTTAATGGTACTAACAATATATCTGTATTTCTATCGGCAACCACAACTCTCTTATAAAAATTTATAATTGCACTAATATTCAGTAGAATGAGTCTAACCAAAAATGATGAACGCTAACCACTTATTTATCCATAAAATAGAAGAATGTTCATTAAAAAAGGATTATGGAAATGCCGCAAAAAAAATTAATTGCAAAATATTTCAATCGCAATTTATTCAAATTTTTCTTTTTTTAATGAATTTTAAAGTATGCAAAAAAAAGATAATGCTAACAACAATTACAGTTCTAATCATAATTCAGTAAAAATTAAGATTCGTATGTTGTTTCAACTGAAGAAGTTTAATTTTTATCTCTTCCCATGGTTTATCAGAATCGAAATCTATTAGATGTCTATTTAGGTAAGATCCATTAATAAAAGCAATAATAATTAATAATGTTATACTTAATAACAATGACAATAATAATAACAGTAATTAAAAGCAATATTAATTAATAAGTAATAGTAATAGTACTTAATAATAAAATCAGTAATAGTATATAAAACAATAATTAATGATAATAATTAATAATAATTAATAGCGATAAAAATTAATGATAATAAATAAATAATAATAACGGCAAACAACAAGAATAATAATAAAATTTATTTACTTATTCTCTATGCAATGATCGATAAAATCGATACAAATTTACAAATTAATTAAGAATTTCAGCAAAATATTTTAAAAACGTAACATAAAGGGTAGTAATAAATTAATAACAAAATAAATTAATAAATAAATTAATAACAAAAATATCCTCAAAGAAATTCCTAAAACTAATGTTTTTAACATTTAATTATTAATTTTAACATAATTTTTTTAAAGAATTATTTTATAAAATTATTTTTTATTGTTAAAAATAGTATATATATATATATTTTTACAATTTATATTAAATTATATTAAATATAAATTGATGCAATAAGTGCAATATTTTTTAATAAATATATTTAAATGCTTAATATTTGGATGGATATAAATACTTAATATTAAATAAAATTAAATATTAAAAATAAACAACTTTAGCTTCAGCTTCTTCAACTTCTTTCATTTTCGCAATTAATTCTTCGATAGCAAGCGGCTCACGTTTTAATTTATTCAATTCCATTTCTTCAAATATTCACACCAAAAAAATCTGAAAAAAAATTGAATACAAAAATTAAAAATTTTTTTTGAGCAAATTTTTCCTTTAATACAATTATTTAATGCATTTCGTATGCAAATGAGTAAACAATAAGTAAATAGGTAAATAAATGGTTTGGCATTTCCACTAACTTAGGCTAATTGCGCTTGAGGTTAACAAGGATTTTTGCAAAGGGTTAGTTAGGGTCACCAGCACCACTTGGGTTTTTTTCAAAGATCAAACAAATAATATGAGAGTTAATATTATATTATGAAATGTAATTGCAAAATATTCTGCTACTCATCGTTATTCGATTGTTTGATGCCCGCTCAATCAATCTTCTCTTATGGGAGAAAGGCGAGTGGAATAGCTTACATTTTTGAAAAAAGTGGAAGATTACTGTTTAAAAAGTATTTTAACAATACTTCTATTCAAGACATGGCTGAAATCAAAATCAATTATTATTTTTTATCATTTTTCTCATCAATAAAAAGATAGTCGAGGTAAGTAGAATTGAAAGTTAACAACCGTCATAGGCTCAATTAAAATTACAATTCTTGCAAAATGAAACGTGTCAAAATATGTCACATGTTGTGCAAGTAAATGATAAATGCCCATACATGTGGAAAAGGACGAAGGACGAGGCAAGATGAACAACAGGAGAAGATGAATATTACACGTTACATGGTATGCAAGTGTGGACATTAGCAGAACAGGATGGATGGAGAATCGATAACAGACCAGACAACTTAAGAGGACATCGAGCGCAGACAGAACGTAGACAAGATGGACAACACAATGTGGACATAAAGAATTACACATTGTTTATTTGCAGCTCAACGCCGATCGATTCTATAAAATAATAAATAATATAAAATGAACTGAGCAGTTTGCTGTCGGAGATGTCTCGACGATAACAGGAAGAGATGTCTTTCGAGGAAACTGAAGTGAACTCGACGATGTTTTATAACAAATATGTTTTATAACTGACAAATAATGAAGAGCAAAATAGAAATACGACGGAGTAAACGTCTACGTGAAACAATAATAAAACTAGTGTTGCATAAACTGGACAGTTGAAAAAATTGAATGGTTGATAAATTTTCCATTTTTGTAATTTTTATTCCACAGAGTACATGTCCTAAAAACAGGCGAAAAAGTGAACAAAACAATCGCCAAACTGATAAAATGATAAAGTGGTGGTAATCCACGCGTGATAAGATGATACGAAAATCTATACTGGTACGGATAAAAACAAAAAACAAAAATAAATTATATTAAGTGAAGAAAAATAGTAACGAAAACGCGACGCACCACTCGCCATATCGATTAATTTTTCCAACTGTGTAAGATGTGTACGATACATGTGTACGATATATGTGTATGGAATAAATATTAAGACATTTAAAATAAATATATATTATAGAGTTTTGTCAAATGCCACTTCGTCAATTGCTCTCGAAGCACGAAAAACGCGCGTATTGTTGCATTTCTCTCCAAATAACAGCAACGAAGGAAAGATTTAAAGGCAAATGGTTAGCATTTATCAGTTCTGGTATGATGAAGATTTTTTGCAAGGGAGTTACAGAAAAACACAAAAACAGGTGGTTTCACCGCACCATCCATATTTTTTAATAAACTCCTGCGGTAGGCGGGACCATTGACGCCCGAGACGATACCCTAAGAAACAACCGCCCTGCCATTTTTCATCTTATCAACAATACGCGCAATTGACAATTAGCAATAATACACAAACTTCGATTCCTGTGGTTTCTGTGGCTGAAATTTGCTTATCGCTTATTAGTTAAATTACTAAGTATTACTTACATTAATACAGTGGCTGGCTGAGAATCAAGTGTTTACTTTTGATTATTTGTGGCGAATTAATTGATTATTGATTAATGGTGATAAAGGTTATGGCCAATTAGTTCTTCATGAAATTATTTTAGATACCAGCACTGCCCTCTTATTAGAAAAGGAATGGTTACATTGAAATATGGCATCGGTCTGAAAAGCTTAGCTAGAGATGTCTCATTCTTATGACCATTAATGCCAACAGTAACTGTGCGAGAAGTAGAAAATATTAACTATCCTTTAAATAAGTCACTCGTCAATCAAACAAATCATATGAACGAAAAATGGCAAATCTTAAATAAGTACAATAAAGCATTAAAATTTGAACACCACCATTAAACTGAATCATTCCTCGGTTCTCATTCGATGAAAAATAAATATATAAATGCCAATAAAAAAAAAAAATTTCCCGCCTCCTGTTGGCCCAATACAATAGTGCATAACAAAATTTACTACAGAAAATTAAATATCGAAAAAAACTAACTGAGAGAAACAGAAAACCTAAAATAATGATAACAAATGTATAGAAAAATCTTGCAAAAATTAACTGTCCGAGAAAACAGATAAAATATTATAACTCGTAGAAATATCTTCATGGGCGGTGTTTTGTTCTAGGGTGGGACCTAAGATTTAAGTGGGAATTACTTAGTGAATCAGGAAATCTGTGGGTGGGTTTTGACAAAAGGTGGTGCCTAACTTAGGAATTTTTATTCTTGTTATCTTACTAATACTATCATGAACAGTGTGGTCGAGCGTGCATTGTTTAGGTTATCATTCGGAACGCCATAATTTAACCTATCATCAAACAATCCAGGTGTTTTTTGGAACACCTAATTTTTTTTAATCGTCAAATGGTTCTCGGTGCAAAATATCCCATCATAGGTTTCGAGCAATTACCCTGGCTCGCGAGCATATACTTGCATTACTTACAAGCCTTGGGATCGTGCCTCGAGATTGTATCGCATGCACTACCACGTTGAGAATATCATGCGCGTCCTTTGACGCGCATGTTGCCAGGAATATCAGACCCTTTCACCACAGAGTCGCTTGGGAATAAAATTACATGTGAGTTCTCAGCAGCCATTTGGATGACTAAAAACCTTATTCTGAAATAATCGCATCAGAGATAAGAAATTCTTTTTTATGGACCAACATATCAATAAAGAAAAAAACTCAACTCGAAAAGAAAAAAACTAGAAAAACTGTAATTATTCTCAGGCTGTTGGTGGGCGATGTTCATCTCTTTCTTCGTTAAATAAATAATTATCCAATAACAGAGGTCGACAAAAAAAGCCCGCTTTGCTATTGATACGATTTTTTTTTAAATGAAACGAAAAGTTATCCTATAAAAGTGACGATTCGCAAAAAACATCTCCCAAGATCTTTCAACTACCTCAAACTAAAAGATTCAGGGATACAGTGAAGTGCATTTCAAACCGAATTATTGAAGTTCCTCAATGAAATGAATATGGGGTGCCCAACTGTTCGAAAAAACTACTAAAGGACGAATATCAAGAGATTCACGGATGCTTCGAAGAAAAAAAATGCAATAAGCATGTGGGACAGAAGTCGCTGTTGGAGCGATATGGCCTTGACAATGGAGATGGCAACTCGATTAGGTAATAATATAAAACTATTCCGCCTTCTTCACAAAGCAACTATAATTTGGAGAACGATCATTAAGAGTATTAACAGTCGCCTCATAGGATGGAAGGAATTCTTCCAGTCCAAACCACGATGTCCTGGATATAGCTGATTTGTTCGTCTAACTGTACGTTTGCAACTGCGAACTACCAAGAGAAGAGGAAATAATCTTTCGTCCAAAAACTTAAGGAGATGGACTTTGGGCTGAATTCTTCAAATAATGTCCATCGTCCTTCATATCATACCTTCAGCATCTGGAAAATCGAAACAATACCAGATGAATGGAGCAAGGCAATTCTGCTCCTAATTCCCAAGAAAGCTGACAGAACATACTGTGACAATTATCGAGGAATTGCTACTAGATTTTCCAGAGAAATTTTTGCTTCCCTTCTGCCGGATACGCCCTAACCAAGCTGGATATAGATCGGAACATGGTTGGCTGACCAGATGTTCACACTAAGAAAGGTATTGGAATATCGCTTCAACTGCAAACAACCCACCATCATATGTTTCATCGATTTTGCAGCTGCCTTCGATTCAATTGATAGAGCAGCGCTTTGGAGGGTGATGGAATGTAACGATGTTCCAAAGAAGATTATTCGCACCATAAAGATGTTTTATCACTGTACAATGAAATAGGTATGGAGAATTAATAGATCCTTTCGAAATAATATGGGGAAATTACAGATCCTTTTGAAATAAGAACTGGTGTCCGTCAAAAACGTATCCTTTCCCTTACAATATTCAACTATGAGATAGACTGCTGCAGATACCGGATATCGCTTGTCGGCTCAAGAGGTGTATAAATCATTTCAGATCATAGCATCACAGATCTTGAATACTCTTATGATTATGATGTGCTTTTTGCTGAAAATTATGACGAAATGCAAATAATATTAATGTTAAACAACTTTTCAACAACTGCGGCGAAAATCAGACTTAGGGTCCGATATAAATAAAACGAAAGTTTTTCGTCTTATGTGCAAATGAATCCACGTTAACAAAACGTCGTCTTTCCTTGTGGTAGTCCTTCGTCGTCGAGTTCACCATAGGAAACATATATTTCGTAACTTGCTAAATCCTGTGACGGATGGCGTGGTGGACCAGTCAAGGCCTGGACTAACATAGACAGAAAAGATGTATAGGTGGACTTAGACGATGGGAAAAGGAATGGTTTCTATTATTATTATAATGGTTTCTATTATTTTATTAGCGATGGCGTCGGACCGAACGCTTGGAGACGCCTTACTCTTACAGCCAGAGGAGCCAGCCTAACCAGTAATGGTGAGGGTTGTTAGAACTTATCCGGCAGATGGGAATTACCATTTGACCACACCCACCGTCGCTACTGAAATAATTTCGGTCTATTTTCCAGTGATGAAAAAATGAATAAAAGAAGAAAATTGACAAAAAATTTATATTTTTTTCCTATAAATAATTTAATTCAGGATTTGCTTTTTCCGCTATTAAGTTATACTTCTGGATGACCTCTGACCTAATTAGCCTTTGGTCTAGTTGAAGCTGACCCCGGATTCGAAATCCATATTGCATATCCTTTTAAAAATTAATTCTCACCAATCTGCCTCCATCTTATTTTATTCAATCGTTTCTCACCATTTTCGTTCATCAAGATAGCGTTTTTCTACGTTTTAGTCCAATGGGTTTTCATTTTTTTATTTCATAATTTTCTATGGAAAAAACTAATAAAAAATTTCATTGAAAACGAAAAAATAAATGAACACAAAAACAAAAAACAGATATATAAAAAAAACAGCCACCCTTCCACTTGAAAATCTTCAATGATTCCGGAAAATAAGTGATTTTTAATTCGCAAATATTTTTGCAAATTTCCAAGCGACTTACTGCTAACGAAAACGAGGGAAAACGTGGAAAGAAGAGTCTGCACCAATTATAAATACGACGAGGCCGCGGGGACAAATGCAGCGAAACGTAAAAATCAGATGAAAGCATATCAGACAGCTTACAACGATGACGAAAATTAGCATGAAGAGTATCGAATAACTCAACAACACGCATAACCGCTAAGCACGCAGTTGACGTAAACAACGCACCAAACGGTGGACACGCGCACAACAAAATATCAGACATCCCACCAAACGTCTGACATTGGCACAATAGAGCATCACATCAGTCACCAATGCACGCAATAGGCATGCACACAATTAAGGTAAAATGGGACGGGGTCGGCCGCGTTTTCTTTCCATGCTCGCTAGAGCCGCGTTTACTCCTTAAAAATCTCGTGTATGACACTTTATCCTTTGACTATTTGATTTCTCTAACTGTCTGGTTACTCCGACTTTTATTTTTTGACTTAAATTAATTAATTTAAAAATGCCTTCTTTCGAAATGGGAAGTAATTATGTTGAATAAATAGTTTTAAAGTGAAATTTATAAAAATTTTGTTAAAAGTTTGGGAAATTTTCCGTAAAATATCCTAAAATAAATATAAATAAAATAAGAAAATGAAAAAAATTTTTTTTAAATTTTAACCGAATTTTGTTGAAAATTTTTATAAAATTTTGCGGATTTTTTATGTAAAAAATAGAAATTTTAAAGCTTTCATGAGAATTTTTTAATTTTAAATAATTTTTCTTTCGTTTTTCCCAGTTTTTTTAAAAAACAAAGTTTTTTCGTTTTTTCTGCTTTTTCTGCTAAAAAATTGTATTTTTTAGTTGTTTTATATTGGAAAATTTTTTCAATGTTCCAGAATTTATTGTTCTTCTGAAAAACATGGAAAAATACAAAAATTACTTTAACTGTTTTGATTTTCTAATTAATTTTTATTCGATTTTTTAATTTTTGCTTAAAAAATTTCTCGATTTAAAAATAATTCATACAAGTTTTCTTCGAATTTATTTTGTTCGCTGATTATTTCAAAAGAAGTCATTTGAAAAATTTTTTAAAAATCTTATATTTTAAAAAGGTAATAACTTTTGATAAAATAATTAAATAAAATAAGCAATGAAATTTAATAAAAATAATTTTGTAATTTCATGAAATTCGAGCATTTTTGTGTATTGTTTATTCAGTACAAATCAGTTAAAATTTATCAAAATTTTTAAAAAATCGCTTACGTTTTCCTTATACTTTAATATTACATATTTGCTTTTCTTAACATTTATTTATTGTTTTATACTTGTTGCGAGTTTAAAATTTAATGGATTTTCAGTATGTTTCCAGTATTAATAAAATTATGTTCTCCAATGTTTTGTAGATGTTTATTTTATGCAAATTACTCAATGAGGAAAACGCAAATACCCGATGGTCCATCGTTGCAGGATTTTATTAAAAGTGGTTGGATTTACAATTATTAATAAAAATTTATTAGTTTTATATTATTACATTATAAATATTATAAAAAATGGAATTATTTCATGTAAAAATTTTCAGATTTTCTTTTTTCGTTTCATTTGATTTTAGTTTCGTCGGATTTTTTTTTGGATGAGGAATTGTTTTTTTTAACGGGGCTTTGCAATTTTCAGGGATTTGATATTTGAAATGCTCTTATTTAAATCTCCATGTGATGCTGGCGATAAACCTTCGAAAAAAATTGCAGGGTATAACCTAGGCAGCTGGTAACCACCAGCTATTCTATTTACTTATATATGAATACATTTAAGTTCGAAACCATCCCTATATGTTTATTTATTGTTTTTTTATTCAAAGAAAGTGGTTATAGTTATGGAATATTGCAAATAAGATAATTCTTCTTCCACAGACAATTCCCACCATTTCTGCTTTTGCTGATGGCATTCATTAGGATGGCATCATTTCGCTAGAGAATCGCATGGAAATTTAACTCAAAAAAAATTATTTTCGAGAATCGTGGAAATCAAATTTTGAGTTTGAAATAAAAATATCTGATTTTCAACGATTTTCCATTGTTTTTTGGTGATTTTTTTAAATTTATTTAGTGAGATAAATTTCATCGTCAATGAGGAGAAAATTATGATTACATCTTTCTTCTTTCAAATAGTTTACAAAAGAGTAAATTACAGAAAATATTGAAGAAACAATGAAAAAATTCGATGGTCGTATGAAATTAGAAAATGATAAGAAGCGACTGCGTTTACCACCGTGGCTGAAAAAGGATATAATTCCTCTTGAAAATGCTAATTATGTAACAATTAAAAAACAAATGAAATCACATAGACTCGCAACGGTTTGTTTGTTGTTTATGGAAAATATTTGTTTTGCTATATCTCTTGAGATATCGAAACAAAGGGAAGTTTACATGTTTTACGTGATTTTATATAATTTTTTAAAAGTCATAAGGCTGAGGGCGTTTCAAGTTTAACAGAAAAAAAAGGTGGAAAAAATTCAAAAAGAAGGTAGTTTTCGATCGGAACAAAAAGATAACCATGGTAGCAGAACAGGAAAGCTTATTTATTGATGTTAATTTTCGGGTATGTGAAGAGGCACGGTGTCCAAATATTGGTGAGTGTTGGGGTGGTTCGACTGATTTTCCTGCTACAGCTACTATTATGCTTATGGGTGATACATGTACTCGTGGTTGTAGGTAAAGTATTTCTCGAATACTTTTATTTAATTTAAATAAATGCTGTTAAAAATTATTATAAATTATTATTATTTCATTATAAGTCTAATTTTTCGAATATATTTCCAAAATAAATTAACATTGATGTTGCAGATTCTGCTCAGTGAAAACAGCGAGGAAGCCTGCAAATTTAGATCCTTTGGAACCAGAGAAAATAGCTAAATCGGTTGCTCAGTGGGGTGTCGGATATGTTGTTCTTACATCAGTGGATAGGTTAATTTTTTCTAAAAAATTGCATTTAAAATTGTATTTTCCTAAATTATCTTATTTTCGTTATCTAGAACAAAAGAATAGCGTAGTTTGTTCTTATAGAGATGATTTACCTGATGGAGGTGCTTCGCACATTGCAAATACAGTTTGGCATCTGAAGAAAGAATGTCCATCGATAATTATTGAATGCCTTTTACCAGATTTCGCTGGATCATTTGAGTGTATAGAAATTGTTGCAAAATCGGGTCTTGAAGTGTATGCTCATAATATAGAAACGGTGAGGCGATTAACGCCAACAGTAAGGGATCCCCGAGCGAAATATGACCAGTCTCTTAATGTTTTAAAGTATGCGAAAGAGGTTAAAATATTATTAATATTAAGAAAATTAACTTGTAAATGCAATCTTTCTTCCATTATGAGGTTTTGAAACTTTAATTTAGATGGTCATTAGGGATGGAATGGCTCAGTGGGTTGTTGCTCAATTCAGAGAGCCAATACTGAGGCAGGAGTAAACCTGTCAGAAGTCCGGGTGATATTGGTGAATCACCTATACTTCTCTCCCCAAGGGATTCCTGGTATATTTATCCAGTGCGATAAGCAAGTGGAGCGAGTTTAATCAGTACTGGTGCAAAAGAAATAATTTAGATGGTCATTATAGGCAGTAAAAATAATAATTGCATACTTCTTTAGCTTCATTACTGGATTTGGATTGCTAGATTTCTTTGAAAAAAATTTAAGCTACATAATGCGATTTCATTCTCATAAAGGGCAATGTAATAATAAAATGAATTTAAATTTTAGTTAAATGATGGTCTGATAACAAAATCGTCAATCATGCTGGGTTTGGGTGAGACTGACAGTGAGGTGATTGAGACATTAAAAGACTTGAGAAGCGTCGGTACTTTTTTTTAATAACATAATACTTTTAATAATAATACTATTTTAATAACATATTTTTTACTTTATTTTTCTACTAGGAATACTTTAAAAGTAATATAGAATTAAGTAATATTGATATAGAATTTTTTAAAAAGTAAATGTATCGGCAATGGAATATTTATTGTGCATTTATATATTATATATTTATTGAATATTTATTTATAATTTACTTATTTTTATAAATATTAGACAAATATAGAAATTTAGAAATATAGAAACATTTTTTCGTCTTTTTAAAAGTATTTTTAAAGTTTTTGACTAATGAGAATAGTTGAACGAGTAATTTGAATCTTTGAATTAATCCACTATTAAAAGTAATCAGCTTGAATTTGAACGAATTTTAAAATAGGGGTTCAAGCATTAACCTTGGGCCAATATATGCAGCCAACCAAAAGACATCTGCTGGTTAAGGAATGGATCACCCCTGAAAAATTTGAATATTGGAAAAAGCTAGGTGATGAACTAGGATTTCTTTATACAGCAAGTGGACCTTTGGTTAGATCGTCTTACAAAGTTAGTTTTTATTTTTTAATAGTTTAGTTCTATTAAAATAAAATTATATTTGAGAATTACCATGGTTTATAAGAAATTCATCATCTATTATTTGCAATTGAAATTTAAAGAATTTTACAGGCCGGAGAATATTTCTTATCGAATATTGTAAAAAGAGAATATGCTTCTGTTCGAAAAGATTGATGTTATTGGATGATAAAAGAAAATGGAAGTAGTTGAAGAAATAGATAAGCTGTTTTTAAATATGTAAAATTGTAAAATTTACGTGTAAAATGATAAATATTATTCACTAATATTGGTTGGTATCTTTCATTTGGTGTTTGTTCACAAAATATATTTTTCAAAATTTGGAACAGCTATTACGGTATTCGAGATCTGGTTCTCTACATGTTTTATTAATTGTCTTAATTTTTGCTTTATTCTGATTAGCATTTTGTTCCTCACTTTAATTATTTATCAGTGAAGGATTTCGTTTTGATAATGATATTTTTCTAATATCTAATATTTGTCTAAGGCCAGTCCAGTCTTTCTTTGAATTAGTTATTTTAATGGAACGTTATTAATTAGGAGTTACGATCATAGTCAACTATAGCTCTGAAGAAAAGAAACGATTTAAGAAGAGGGAAGTGAGGAAATAACGCAATTTTTTGTCGTCATTTCGTTAAACCTGAGAAAGTGTTTTCTTTCGTCATTTCGTAATGAATAAGGTTTTAATTTTATAGGGTTTTTTTTAAGGTTCTTTTTTTTATAGTATTTTGATTATCATCATGAATAAGGTTTTAATTTTCAGATTTCGTAAGGGTCGTAATTTCAACTAGATCAAATCCGAAATGAGTGAAATTGTTTCTGGACGAGCCCGTGTTGTTTTTTCGCATCCTGATTTTTTGCATTTAGCGAAAGGTGGTTTGGATGGGAAAATTGTTGCATATAAAGATTCTTGGTTATCTAAAAGTTATGAAATGCAGGACTGGGTTACTTTCAAAGCGAAGCCGCATGATTCGGTAAGTTTTCTTTCGTTCGAAAGTTTTTTTTGAGTTTTTTGCATCGTTTACTTCATTTATCCTTTTTTATTCAGAATTCACAACTTTCAATTTCATTTTTTTAATTGTAGGAAGGTAATCATGGTTTGCATGGTGTTAGGTATAAAGCATTACCCAATTCTGTTAAATTTGAATCGAAAGGTAAAATTGTTGATGGCGTTGGAACGTTATTAAAACTTGATGAAAATCATGGACAGTACGGTTTTATTAAGGTAAGTATAAAATTCATCTACATGAAGAAGATTCATTTGTTGAAAAATCTCTTTATTCTCTTTTTAATTTCTTTTTGTTTCCTTAAGTCCTGTGCTTTTATTGAATATTTCCATATAGTAGGGAGAATAGCTGATATTATTAGCATAGATACTTCTATGAGAGCTGCTAAATTATTCTGAGCTTTTCTGGTGACCTTGTAGTTCTATTGCCACTTCTTGTTGAATTTTCCTAGCAAAAATTTTTAAGCATTAATTGCAATATTAACAGTCCGGGTCGAAATAGAAATGATACACTGGTGAGCATTTATCTGTTATTTATTTAACTACTTATTTAATGCATTAAAATTAGACTATATAAAATTTCATGACTTGAAAATTTAGCATCAAAATTTTGCAAAATTTTCATTTTCAGGCAAACGATGGGTCAACAGTTTATTTTACTGCAAGTGTAGTACGGCCTGAAACTAAGGTTGATTCATTCATTATTTTTATAATTGGTCGTACCAAAGCGTGATAATTTATTGAAGATTTTTATTTAGGATATTCGTAAAGTTTTTAAAATTGGAGCGCGTATTCGTTATAGAGCTACAGAACAAAAACAGAATAATGTGCAGTGGCGAGCTATAGCTGTATGTGATAAAAATGATAATATTGATAATCTCGTGGGACGACAATCGAAATCAGCAGAAAATAATGTTGCTGCGAGGTCAGTTCATTTATTCGTTCATTTTTCAAAAATTCAACATTTTTTGGTTAATATTTAATAATTTTAATAATTTTTTTTATAATTTCAGATCTGCTATTAGCGTGGCGAAAAAGCTTTCTTCTGGTTTGTCTAGTGCTAATATTACGAGCGGTATTAAAACTTTATCAGCTGTAAATAAAATTCAAACCAATATCAACCAACCAAATAATCTGGTTTGAAAATTTTTGTCGATTATAATTTAATTCATTTGTTTTTTTATTTGATTTGTGGTTCATCAGCCTTGCAACAGAGTCAGTTTTTTAATAGTCATTTGCTAGGCTTAAATTCGATAAATATATTCTGTTACGGTTTAATATATTTGATTTCCAAGAAAAACAACGTAGAGTACGAGCTCTGTTCATTCATTTTTCATGCGAAATTATTTCTTACAGGTTGGTTTAAATACTCAACCAGTTAAAGCACCCAATGGAGTGTCGATGCTGTCGAATGAATTGGAATCTCGGTCAAGTTCGGTTTCTCGCTCTGCAACACCTGGTCATTGCTGGGCATCTATTAATAACACCACTCGTGAATCAACTTCATCTTCTCCATTAACCAGTTCTGCTTACTCGTCCTTTTTTTACCAGCCTCCTACATCATATAACGTTTCGCCATTCATATTTAATGAATTCCCATCAAGTTTGCTTTTATTTATTTTTCTTTACTATAATAAAAAAGTTTAAAAGAAATTAGTGTCGCCTAAATCATTTGCATAGCTATTTTATAATTATTTGAAATCATAAATATAACTTATTTCCAATAATAACTTATTTCCAATACATATTCTGATAATAAAATCAGTTGAATGTAATTTTTGACGAGTACTTTTTTTTCATTTTGCAGCTGGAAATAGCTATGAGGATCGCATAACTCGTCTCATACATATTTCCAATCATTTGGCTGATGGGCGTTTATCTGCTGTTTATCGGTAAAGAAATACCGTTACCTCAACTAATAACCAAAACGATAATTAATCTTGGTTACTGAATGTATTCGAATCAAAATAAATTATTGGTATTTATGATATTATCAATTACCATTTTTTTCGAATTTTTATACGTTGAAATTTTAAAATTTTAAATGTGCTGGCATTATTGTATTCAATTCGAATATTTAGAATATTACATTAACACTAAATTTTTAATCGTCTATTTCATTATTTTATATTTATCTCTATTATTTCATTAATTGATCATCGTGACTTTAATTTATAAAATCATTTCATCTTTCATCACTGGTGCATTCATCTTGTTTGTTTGTTTATTTGTTTATTTGTAATGAGTTCGACAAATTTATCATAATAATCTATCATTTTTTAATCGTAATTTATCCAGAGTTTCCCTGAATATTTTTGCTTTATAAGTTAATTCCTTACTGTTGCAATTATTTAATGTTATATTATGCTGTTACAATTAGAAATTTCGAATTTTGAGTGGGTTCTGTGGTTATTTTTGATTGCAGTGAGATCAGCCTATTCGTTTTAATATTCTTAATGGAGTGGATAATGATACATCAGTGTCGAAATTGGATATTGCTTTATACTATATATTTATTAAATTTAACGAGTTTTTAGTTTATTTGATCTGGTTGTTCGAATTGTTTATTACACTTATCGAATAATTAGTAAATTCAGTCAATAAATATCTATGAGTAAAATTTAATCCTTTTGCATTATGCTTGAACCGGATTATCGGTCCGTTATTGATCTTTTATTATTACGTTTTATCTAATAAATTGGTGTTCTAATATAATTTTTGGTTGATAGCAGCAAATTATATTTGAATAATGGAAGTAGGGTAAGTAAGTAAGTAGTTTTTGAAGAGTTATTTTACGAATAATTTTTACGAATATTTTTTGCATCTCGAAAAATAAAATTTTTTCTAAAATATTTTCATTGGTTCTTCATTCGTTTTTTATGTATTTTTTAAAATAAAATGACTAGGGATAATATTGTCAGAAATAATTGGGTGTTATTAATTTTCTTGAGAGATATGAAAGGAAGTGAACGCATAGATGGTACTATTAAAGAGTTCGCCAATGCTGAGGTTTCACTCCCCACTGGAGTGAATCTGTCCAAAAATCCGGATAACACTGGTGATTCACCTGTGCTTCTATCGTCGTGCGATTCCTTGGCATATTTATCTAATATAACAAGCCAGCGAAGCGAGTATGACCAGCAATGGTGACGGCTCTTAAAAAAAAAAATTAAAGAGTTGGTGATGCCGATAAAGGTTACTGCACAGTTGGATCGTGGTTCGGCCATATATCTTGCTGGCGAAGCTGTTCGATGTAAGGTAAAGATTGTTATAAATTTAAAAAGTATTTTAGGTGTAAAGGTTGTTATAAAAAGTATTTTAAGAATTGGAAAATCATGAAATTTAAAATTTATATTTGAAATTCTTATTGTATTCTATTAATTAAGTCAGATGCAAAAAGCTTTTATAAAAATTTCATTTTAAGGTGATATTTGAAAATATAAATGCGAAAGACGATGAATCGCTTGCGTGGGGAAGTATTCATCTTCAGTGTGAGCGAATTATGCGACTACATGAAGATTTAGCTCGAAAAGGATCAACAAATGAAAATACGACAACGTCAATTTCTCGCTCAGCATTTACTGTTTTTTCTTGTAGACCTGTGGTGCTTTTTTGTGAATTACTTCTTCATGCTGGTGAACTTCGTGAATTCGTTTGTACTCAACAATTGCCACTGGAATCAATTCCTCCATCTTTCAAGTTTGTTTATTTTTTCTTAAATATATTTCATTTGTTGGTTTTTAAAAAACAGCCTTCTTTTTTGTATAATTATTTTTACTTTTTAATTCATCATTAATTTATTGCTTTAATATATTTTAGATTTTGTTTTATGGTGAAAGAAACATTCGAATTTCTATTGCATTTTTTTCGTGAAATTTCGATACTTATTCCACTTGTTCAATAAATTTATTATCTGCTGAAGGAATTTATTTTCTTATTTTTAGGGGTCATTTAGTGAGATATATTTACAAATTGACACTGGGTGTGCAACACGTTAAATCACCAATAAAGTTATTGAATATTCCGTTGCGAGTTATTCAGTCTGATTTGGGCATTACTTTTCCTTCTGTACCGAAGTTGTCCAATCCTTTTATCGCAAATAAAAATACTGGGTAAATTGTTCATCAAATTTTAGTTATTTATTATAGGATCACTTTAACTGTTTCAATAACAAATCTTTATGAAAAATTCAGGCCCTCTATTATTGATCTAACCACAGAAGCCACCGATTGCATTACTGCCCCACATGGTAGCTCAAGTTATGCGATTACAAATTCCCGGGGGAAAGTCGCTAGTTTTTTTTTGATCAAAAAAGCGTTTAAACTTGGCGAAGACATTATTGGAAGGTTTATTTTCGACAATTGCGAAGTAAGGTGCTTGCAGGTAAATAAATATCGCTAAAAATTTTTTCTTAATCAATTTTGCAATTTTTTTTGAACAATTGCTTTGTGAAGTTTGAAATTTTACTTTTTATATATTAGTTTCTATACTAGTTTTAATACTATACTATTAATTTTTATACTAGTAATTTTATATTAATTTTTTATTTTTATTTTCAGAAATTGATTTATTTTTAGTACACCGTTAGTTTGCAATCAGTTGAAACCTTGGTTGCGGAGAATTCAGACTTGAATTTATCAAGTTTTATTTCGACGCATGTCACGGAACATGCTGTTTGTGCTTATTGGCGAGAGGCTCTCGTGAAACTTCAAATTCCTTTATCGGCAACTCCGACGTTTTATACTGATACTGGTAAATAATCAATAATAAATTGTAAATTTTGATCAATTTAAATTTATTAGTAAACATCAAAAAATTCTCAGTTCTTTGTCTACATTTTTATGTCATCGTTCTGCTTTAGTTCATTTAAAATGGCGATTACATTTCGAATTTATTACAAATGATGATTTCAAGTTTGATGTTGTTGAAGGTCTTTCTCAAGCACCAGATAGCTTAAATATTGAAACAATGACTTGGAATCTTGATATCAAGGTTTCTTTGCTCTATTCGAGATTGTTATTCGAATTGTCTTCATTAACATCAACTTCAAAGAAATTGCTTCCTCGCTGTTTATGGAGAATTTTTTAAGTTTTTTTGCTGTAAATGTCTTAAATGAATTCATTTCAGGTGTTTCCTTGTAATCCTCATAATGCTGCACTAACATCGACGAATTTCTTATCGATATCATCAATGACAGTATGAAATTTTTATGAAAAATATAATTATATTATACATTTAAACAACCTAAATTAAATTTTTTGCTATTTTTTTCCAATTTCATACTTCTTAATCTTTTAAATTATTTGATTCAAAATCAAATAAATAAATCATAAAATAAGAAATAAATCATCTATTTATTCGAAAAAATATCACAGATAATCACAATTAACGGAATAATTGTTAAACGTACATGAAATAATCGAAGATAATTTATTATTATATAATGCATCATAAAGAAGAAATGAACCTATATCCGAATTTGAATTCAAAATAGAGAATGTTTCAGAGTTGACAACTGCCCAACCACCATACATGCATGAAATAATGTATTGTGAACCTGGTATCTTTCTAATATTCCAAACACCACCACCAAGCTAAATAAGCAAAAGAATAAAAGTATAAATTGTAAGGGGATAAGGGAACTATTTTTCAAATACCACATTCCGTATGAATGCTGGCACAAGTTTTTATCTTTCTTTTTCCCTTTCGCTTACTTTTCTGCCAGGATATTATTCCGGCATCATTTTTGTAATTTTATATGCCTTCGGGCTCCGTTTTCTTTTCTTGCATGTAAGAAAAAGAAACTATGGGGCATTATTTATGACAATTTACGAATGTTATCTAAGTAATATTATATGTTTAAGAATAATGAAACTACTACCTACCTTTTGTTCACAATGTGTGTCATGAAACATTCGGATATCAATTCGTCGAATATGTTCATCGTAGGATCCAGAAATTATTTGAAATTCATTTTCAGTATCCAAAAAAATCACACCACTCGTGTGCGACTGATTAATATCAATTAATCGATTTGCACAGCGTGTGTCCCATAACTTTAACAAACCATCTTCACCACCAGATAATATGGCACCACTATTTCCGCACCATATAGCATTCCAAACTTCGCATGGCTCCTTCGTGTATGGCAATGAATGGCCAAGAAATGATTCTTTTTTTCCTGGAAAATGATAAAAATATAATTCAGCAAAAAAATTTAGAAATAGCTATTTCACAATATTACTTACTCAAACAATTTTCAAAGAAAACCCAAAAAATCTTAGAAGTTTTAGAATCTTAGAAATCTTAGAAGATGCAAATCAAATGAAACTTCAAAATACTACAGCATACCTGTTGTTAGATCGATAGTATGTATGAAACCGTGGTTATCGGTGGTAAGAGCCATATTTTCACAAACTGATACGCATAAAAGGATAACATTATTAGAAATAAGTATGTCAACAGTATTATTCGCAGATAATTGCATGCATGTAAGACAGCCATTCGCTAATGCCGCATATAATTCACCTCTTTCCAAGGAAACCTTGAAGCGAAATATTCCTGCCGTCATAGGAATATATTTACAAACCAAAAAATTTTCGTTAATTATATAGAATGAACCGGAGCGTCGTGTTGCATTTTTTAATTCGTAAGTCGAAACAATATAAGAAGTATTTGATGGATCGGTAAAGTCAATTCCAGTCGGCTTTTCGGGAATAACGACGAATTTTGAATTACAGTTTTTCAACATGATTGTAAACAACGAAAAAAAATTATTGATTACAATGTTTTCCAGTTTCCATAAGACACTCTCGAACGAGTAACCTTGCTTGAATTATTTCTCTTTTTAAGCGTTCTGAACAAATTTTGTTACCCGTATATGTTGGTCGAATATCTTTACCCAAATCTTCGATCACCTAAAATAAAGGAATTGTCACTGTAAATACTTACAGGAAGTTACACAAAAATTATATAGAATTGATTACATATAATCAATAATAATTATATGGGAAATGCATACAAAAAATTTTTGACAATTTTAATCAAAGTTTATTTTGATTTAACAAAGTATAGAGCTTTGTTAAAACAAAATTTTAATCCATGTTACCGCTTGAAATGCTTTGAATAATTAATTGGTTTTGATAATCGAAAGAAAATTGAACATCGAAAGAAAATAGTTATTAAACGGTTAAATAATTTTTGTCTTAATTATCACTTTCAAGAAGATGGTTAATGACGAAAAATAAACATTAAAAAAATAAATTATTTTAAAGATCAAAACAAAACTAAAAATAAGTAAAATGAAGATGAAAAGTAGAAAAAGCTTTACGTTAAGCAATTGCTGATACTTGGAACTACCGGAAGAGACAGTCGATGGAACTGAATATTGTGGAAGTGTCGCTGTTGTTGATGACTGATTACTCGTTAATTGCTGAACTGTCGTTGTTGCTGTTAATGCTGTTGTCGTTGTGGTTGCTACTGCTGTTGAACTAATACTCAAATCTTCTGCAGACATTACTATAAAATAAAAATGAAACAAAAGAATAAAAATTGAGTAAAATAAACTGATCTAATAAAACCTTTATTTCAAAAAATTCTAAAAAATTTTTGCCTTAATTATCAAAAACTTTGAAATGGTTTTTACCAATTAATTATTTCAATTTAAAAAAACAATTCAATTAATGCTAATAACAGACGAAAAGATTCAGGGAAAGCTGAATTAACTAAAAGTGAATTAACAGCACGCGAAACCGAATGTGTGAGCAGACTAGCATCTGTTTGGACCAGCGGCAAGCCCAGCACCAAAAAACCGCGTCAACACTGCTGCACCTCTAAGTGGCCTTCTGGCGAAACACCGCTTGCACGGCAGCCAGCGGAGCCAACGCATTCAAAAGTGGTGACTGCCGACCGCCAACTCGCTTTCCTTTATTTACTAATTAAAATTTAAAAGCCGCAAACATGAATAGAATTCCTACAAAAATTATTGGAAATTTCACGTTGCAAATTAATTATTAACGGAGTATTTTAAGAAAAACCTTTGCCGACACCACGCTGTTTCCACGTTTACACTTCGCACCTTCTCAAGCGAATAAAATATTTGATTTAAAGATAGAAATTTGTATACAAAACGTACGCCAAATTTAAACGGCAACCAACCAATAAGCAAAATCTATTTGGCGATTTTTGTATAGGGAAAAGGAAGGAAGTGAGACGGTTTACGGCCCGGTCAATGCCGACGCGATCTGCGGTCCCTCGTTCAAGAGGACCTTGTTTGCTAAAATCGATTACGAGCCTTGTTTTTTTGTGCTGGTTTGCTTTTTTATTCCCTTAGTCCGATGGTTTCTTCTCTTGTTTTTTGCTAACGTATTTGCTGCCGAATTGTTCGAAATATGTCAAATTGCCGAGAAACAAGGGACTAAAATGCCGAACTGGAATTTGCCAAAAAAAGCACGCCAAGAGAATTGCAGGGCGTCAATTTTCATGTGGAAAGGGGGAAGGCGACAGAGTAACTCGAATGAACACTGATTCGTGGAGTGATTACTACAGCCCGCAGCTGACACGTCTTCATTAGCAAAATAATACAAGTGACCCTTAGGAAAGGTCAAATTTTAAATATTAGTGCTTAAATATTGAATCGGAAGGGTATTTTATTTCAGTGACTATTTCTTATCGGTGTTTCATCAGTTTATCTTCATTATCTCTGATTCGTTTCGGATCGCGTCGTTTAGCGCTGGTGGCACTACGCTGCATAACATTTCCTTTTTTTTCTTCTCCTTGCTTCCCTCTATGTCATTCTCCATCGATGATGTTCACATTAATTGTTTTCCTCGCCAGTGAAAGGTCAAGGGTCATCTATGCCATGTATCGTTTTTGTTAAATGATAAGGAGTGAGTAATCAAACCATTTGCAGGTGCAAGTCTGTATTCTATGGCAGCGGTATGTCTTTTTTTTTACTGCTTTTTTCATTTCAGTAGCACTTTTTAGATTGGTCCATTTGGATCTAAAATTTATTGGATCCAGAAAAGAGAGAATTTATTGAGAGAATTCAGTCAAGTAGAATTCAGTCGAAATGCTTTGTCTTTTAGCTTAAATAAGTTAAACTTATTTAAAATAATTTCATTCTAGACATATACTTTTGAAATGGAAATGACATGTGAAGGATGTTCAAATGCGGTTCGAAAAGTTTTATCAAAACTAGGAAGTTTGGTTTTTTTATTTTTTCTTTTAGTTATTCGTTGCTTTTTTCTCAGTCAGTTAATTTTCTCTTTTTCTTGTTTGGCTGATTTCATTTGCTATTTCGATGAGATCCCTTTGGCTAGAGTATTATATGCGGAACAGTTTGGTTGCCAACATTTTATCCGATTTTATCTTTGTTGGTAAGTTTACTTCTCTTGACAGCTAAGAAGCAGTCTGCCTTGCTGGCTTGGCGTTAATAGAAGCAGCTGTCGAATCAGTTGATTTAAAAGCATTCTACGGATAGAACCTTCGCATACTCTTTAATAATCATCAAAATTCGTTATATTTCCTCAAATCTTGGTGCAATTTTTTGATAATTACCAAGTCCAGAAATTTCTCCATTAACACCTTCAGTATCCCATATTTCTTCGATGCCCCAACATCATGGTTCCAACTCTTATAAATTTATAACTTGCAGTTTTGGCACAAGTACGCTGCGCTGTTTGAGAGAGCATAAAGGGAACAAAATTTGAATAGATTGTATTAAGCTGAGAAGAGTTCTAGAATGATACCACTAATAAATTATGGCATGAGCGAAGCTCGGTCTAGAAAAGAGACATATGTAGAAGACACATTTGGAGAAGATTTTTCACAAAGTATGGCAGATTTTAGGGGTTTTAGAAATGATTTCAGCATAAATCAAAGCATTAAGTGGTACGAAATGATTTTAAGGAATTTAAGAATTTTAAGAGACATCTGTGGAATTTTAGCACCAAGTTGCCATGTCAAGGAAAGTTGACTTCCTACCTGCTTATAAAAAACTGGCATTTAATAGGATGTTAAGGGCCTCTGAAGGAATTTTAAAATGTGGATTATAACAGGTCTCAAGATATGCAGTAATCAAGGCTTTATAATCAAGTCGAAGATGTTAAGGTAATCATAAGGAAATTCTTCTTCTTCTAACAGCTCTTACCATTACTGGTTAAGCTGGCTCCGCTGGCTACAAGGTAAGACATTTCCAGGCTCCTCGGTCCGATGCCATTCCTTTCTCCTAAGTCCATATATCACTGTTACCACTATTCAAAATTCCCTGATCAGTCCAGGTCTTAACTGTTCCTTCTCGCTTTTGATGCCAACCATCACAGGGTTAGCAACTAACGAAATATGCGTCAACTCCTGTGGTGGAGAAGGTGCTGCAACTAGCGAACGCGACATTCTGTAATATTATTAATACTGTAATATTATTAATAGTAATATTATTAGTAATAGATGGTATTTGAAGATGGATATAATCACGTGCGATTTTATATCCGCTTATTGAATCCGTAATGAGTGATGAAAGGCTGATGGCTTCTTAATATCTTCTACTCTTATTGGCTATGTTTCGCAGCCCTGTAGCAAGATCGAATAATTAGCAGGCATATGGATGTGGAATCTCGTCTTTATGGTGATTTTGCGACGATTCCATTAAGATTTCATCAACCGGAAAAAATATATTTCTAACTGTCGTTATCCGGGTTGCAATTTCACCCTTTGCCTGGCCATTTGAAGTTAGAATGGATGCAAGTTATTTAAAGTCCAACACTTCCTCAGCCGGCGATGAATTGATAAAAATAGGTAATTTATCAGCATCTCATATGTGAGATGAAAACACTTTTATTTTTATTTACATTAATTTTAATTTTGAGTCCAATTCAGTTGTTTGACGCATTGTTTAACACCATTTTTATTTCATTATACTGTTAGCAAAAAGGACTAAAGCATCAACGTTTTCAAGGTCTGTGATACTATGCTCTGGACTGATTTGCAGACCTCTTGAGTGCCGACGAAAGATGTTATCCAGGTTATCGCATAGTTGAATGTTGTAAGGAGAAGGACGCTGCCCTGGCGCCAGCACCAGTTTTTATTTCGAAGGAGTCTATCAATTCCCCACATATAGAGACCTGTGCCAGGATATGATAAAATGCCTTTATAAGCCGAATGATCTTCTCTAGGATACCGTCATATTCCATCACTTTCCAGAGTGCTGCTGCTCTATGGAAGGCAGCTGCAAAATCGATTAAGTGGGTTGCTGGTATTTGAAGCGATATTGCACCCTTCTTAGCGTAAATATCTGGTCAGTATAAGCGTTCCGGTTTGAATCCAGTTTGGGTTAGGACATTCTGCTATCTCTTGCTGCCATGAGTCTATTTATCGGAAGGAAAGCGAAAATTTTTCTGGAGATGTCCAATGGGCTAATTCCGCGGTAATTGTCGTACTATGTTCTGTCACCTTTCTTAGCATTTGGAATCAGAATTGCTTTGCTGCAGTTTTCTGGTATTATTTCCTTTTGCCACAGCAGAGAATACATTCGAAGGTGAGTTATGAACAAGGATAGCATTTGAAGAATGCGGTCCGAAGACCATCTCCGGGAGTTTTATTGGCCTTATCCTTATAGACTATAGAGATTATTTCCTCTTTGCTGGCGGTTCACAGTTGCAGACCAGAGAATGTATGGCTAGATCTGCGAATCAGTTATATTTGGGATAATAATGGTGCATCTTGGTTAAGTTTGGCCTCAAATTCTTTAAATTTTTTGAGGCGATCCTTTATAGCTTTAACAGGCGCCCCATTAATATCTCATATCATTTCGCTCTTCTTTTCTCGATTTATGGTTGCTTTATGAAGAAGGCGAAACAGTTTTCTATTATCACCTATCCGAGCCGCCGTCTCCATTCTCCAAAGCCAAATCGCTCCAATCGTTGTCTCGCCGCCCTGCTGTCGTTGAAGCACCCGATGATCAGGATCTCCTGATATTCGGTCTTTGGCAGTTTTTTCAGAAGTTGAGGTATTTCAATAATATGGTTTTGAAATATGCTTATTGTTTCCGGATCTTCTGATCTGAGATAGTTGAAAGATCTTGGGATACGTCGTTTCTTACAATTTGTCAATTTTATACGAATCTTGGTTCGAACCATAACATGATCTGATCCATAGTGTTTACCAGTTTCAGTGCCCCCGGTAAGAACGACTATTAAGTACAGAACTCTCCCAGCGAGACTGACCAATATATAGTTAATCTGATGGGAATATTGATTGTTCGAAGAGTTCCATAAGGAAGTTCATTTCCAAATAATTAAAGGGTTATAGCAAACGAAGTTTGATAAAGCATTAGGTGAGGTGTTTACCGTTGCTTTGAGATGTATTAATTGGATATTCGGGTAATTCCGAGAAAAATTCAGGTTTGAAAGGTTCAGTAGTACCTAATATCAAAGGATTAAAAGGGAAAAGAGTGAAGAAGATTTTTGGGGAAATCAACTGAATTAGTGAGTAAAAGGTGCATTTAATAGAAATTGGAAATCAATTTGGACAAAATTTGGTTCATTTTGAAGGAAATTTTGAAGGAAATGAAGTTTTTTTCTAATATACACACAATTTTATGGTTTAGAGTTAATAATTTGCTTAATTTTTTACTCATCATGCAAGACTGTTCAAGCTGACACTCGATTTCTCGATTTATATTTTGCAAGAATTCTGCTGGCATTTACGGTGTCCGAAACATCATTGCGGGCTGGATGCGATTTAATTTTTCCATTCAATTTTTCCCTTTTCCGCTCTTTTTTCTTTCTGTATTTCGCCGTGTTATTTCTTCATCATGTTCTTCACCTAAACCATTTCCTCTTCAGTTTTACCACAATTTATCATTCATCTCGCACCTCTCAATCTTTTATTTCTGCTTTATTCTCCATGGCATAATTATTTTTCTTATCAACAAAGAATCGTTTTGAATCGTAAAAAGCATCGAATTATTTTTATCATTTATCAATCTTCCTATTTTATTACATAATAATTCAGAAATTGTGAATAGGTGATGTTTCGGATATAAATATCGACATTGCATCAAAACGAATTTCGGTAAAGACAACGTTACCACCTGAAACTGTTTTGGAAACACTGATGAAGACGGGAAAAGTTTGCAAACAGATCTCATGATTGAGATTACTCACTGGTTGTTCTATAACATTTTCACAGGTATCTTTGCTTAAGTTAATGAGAATGATTAATAAGTAAATAGTCTTTGTCTTCTAACAGCATTAGCCACATCTGGTTTTCTTGATTCTGCTGATTGATAAAAAATATTTTTGCCAGGGGATTCAGATCTTTGGGAGGTAACACCACCCAAATTAACACACATCATATTGATAGCAATTTGCCTGTGTCTGCCAGAGTAAATCAAACTTTGTGCTTCCAATGAGATATTAGATTTTTTAAATCGATAATATGGACTGTAATTTCAGGCGGAGAATATTAAATGAACAGTTTTCGCGGACAAAAATTTTTCGAAATTTTCAAATCAAAATATTTTATTTTCTTCCATCTATTTTTACAAACTTTTTTTCTCCATTTGTTATGATTAATGCTTAAAAGATTTGTTTTTAATTGTTATAAAAATAATGGTTTTTATTAATCAAGTCGTATTTATTTATATTATATTGCACTCTGGGTTTTCACTAATTTTACGAATTTTTTACGAGTGTATAGTGGTTCAAATTATCGTACTGAGAGGCAAGGCAGGGATTCCACTGCTCTCGATAGTGCAATAGACAGTACTTTTAAAAATTCCAAGTTATGATGGTGTATTTAAAAAAAAAAAAGCGGAAGAATACGTTTAACATTATTATTATTACTGTCATATTTTATTAGTCACTTCAAACATTGTTATCCTGGAATTCAATCTTTTCTTAAAATTTTAAAATTCAGAAAGATTATTAAAAATTCATGCTAGATTTTCTTCTTGCCTTCAAAAAGGAAAAGTTTTTAAAAAAAATTTGCATTTAGAAGAAAACCTATTCCTAAATTTACTTAATTTGTGCCAATAAATGAGTTTTTTGGAAATGAAAGTAAAAAATTGAAGAATACAAGAAATAAGAAATATAAAATTTATTCACTTAATAATATATGAACATCTTTAACCGACTTAGCGATTTCTCGATAGTACCGCTTTCCAAAAATATTTATTATACGGATTGCATCAAATTTAGTGTAAAGCATTCGTGATATAATATAATTACCATCAGATATTGCCATATTTATAATTTCATGGTAAAATTTTGGAAAAGCTGGTGGTTGGTAGAATATAACTGATTTTATTCCCTAAATTTACATAAATATATGGAAAAATTGGAAAATTGGTACCTAAAAAAAATTCAACAAATGATAAATGAATGGGATTTAAGGAAATGATTTTATAAATAACCTTTATGTGATATCGTTTAAAAAAGTGGAAACGCTCCGTTATTAAAACCAACTTCCTTTCCCTTTTAAAAAATAAATCACGGGCCTTTGCAATCTGTGATTATTGTTTTTTTATGATTATGAAAAAATTCAGCAAATATTACTGAAATTCAATCTAATTTTAATCCAACATTCAATTTTATATTTTATTTCAAATAAAAGAAATTTATATAGATGCTTTTCGAAAAACTTTTTCGACTAATTAATTAAGAAAAGTTGGATAACTTACTTTTCCTGGTTTCGAATATTCGCAAAGCTGAACAAAACTTTCATTTTCATTTTTCAAGAAATTTCGAATTCTAACAAAATCAAAATAAGATGGAATGAAAATAGCTGTGCCTGTCTCACATTTTCGCAAAACTTTGTCCTAAAAAAATTAACTCTTCTTAACTAAAAGGTGATAAAATTTAGATATAATTCAATTTGATGAAAATCACCAAGGACAGAAACTTCGGTTCTAACGCGTTTCCCTATTTGACACAGTAAACTATGAGGAATTTCCAGAGATTCTCAATATCTTCGTGAGATTCAATCAAAATCAAATTTAGAAAACTGGAATAATCGACAAAATTAGAAAAAAATGCTAGAAAAACCTTAAAGTGCTGAAACCGTATATCCGACTGATTAACCGAAAGATCAACGGCTATACGTTGTAATTCTTGATAAACCATTGTCTCAACCTTGAAATTACCAAAATTTAAATTATTGATTATTTGTCACAGACACTAAAGAGCAAATAGATTTCACTTTAGGCTGAAAAGAAATTACTTGGTCAAGATATCCATTTGATGACGAAAAAAGTGAAACAAGTCCGGCAAAATTAAAACATTTACATTTGAAAAAAGCTTTAAATTCAGCGAGAGAAAATGAAGACAAAAGAACAGTTTGTCTAAAAAAATAATCGTTGGAAGAATTTTTTTGCAATATTAAAATAATAAAAAAAACAAGGGATAAATGGCACTAAAAATATAAAAAATTCCCATTTTTTTTCCAATTTTACCTCTGATTAAGTTTTATTATGGTTTATTGCATTTAAATTAGGAAATGAAAGTTGAGGAATTTTTGTCAGAAGAACAATGAAAATTTCAATATCAAAGAAATCCAAAATCATTAGAATTAAAAGTATAATATCTAAAAAACCAAGAAAGAAAACCATAGATGGCACCTATAAAGTTTAGCATCTTGACTGATACTCCAATGGCGAACGCGAGAGATATCAGTGGTAATCTCCTTAGGCTGGCAATGAAGATTATCAGTAACAAACAACACATGTTCCCAATTTTGCATGAGAAGAATCTCTGCCTTAAAGATTTTAGTAGAAACTGCTTGGGATTCAACTAGACAAGAAAAATAAATTTATTTTTGAAAGTAATAAATATATATATATATATATATATATATATATCAATTTCATCTGAAAACATTTTGCATTATAAAGTTCGAAAATTTCCATACAGAATTATTACCTTATCAATTATCAAAATTTCGATCGAAGCTAGAAAATCTTTTTCAATGGTTATTTCCGACTGAGCATCAGCAATAACCATTCTTAAGCCAAGCGGTGATGCAATTATAATATCTGAGTCGGCAAATGAGGTATATAATTTTAAACATTTTTTAGCAAAGCCAATTCCTATACGAAAACAATCATCTATATTCCCTGACATTAACTGCTTGAATTCAATATCTACCTGAAAATAACTAAATGTAAATATAATAATATAAATAATAATAATATAAAAATAATATAAAAAATAGTCTATAAAATTACATAAAGTTATATGGAATAACTTTAAAAAAAGGAAAAATTTTTAACAAACTTGAAAATTCAACAATTTTGAAAAAGGGGAAAAATTTTCAACAGACTTGAAAAAAGGAATAGTGAAAAAAATTTATTACATTTCTCTTTTCACTAATTCCACAATCAGAACCACCAAATTCTTTTTGAAATCGATGAAAATTGCTGATGAATGGTCTATCAGAATTACCAAAAATGAGTGTACGAAATAGATTAACAAGAGATAATGCATCTTTTCTCATCGGACATAAGATAAGAACTTTAGGTCGAGCAAATCCTTGATCTCGTGCATTTTCTATACTTTCTTCTTTTAAATTTCCCTTCAAATAAATATATATCAAATTAACTTGGCACAGCATATATTAAACTCTATCGCAAAATTAAAAAGTATCGATAATAACTAGGACAATACGTCTTACTTACAACAAATAAATATTTACTTTCTCACGTAATTCACGAAGATATAAATTATTACTGATGACGAGATTTCTCGTAGAGATGATATGATGCAAAGAATGTAAACAATAAAGTACCTACAAAAATAAATCGTTAAAAATAGATCATTTTTATAATAAGCCTTGATCCAAATCAAAGGATCCAAATCTTGGTGCTTAATAACCCAAATAATAAATATCTGGTTCCTTGATTTTTTAATCAGTGATGGCTGCTCTATTTATTATTAGGGAAGAAAAGAAACAAAATGAACTTAATAAATTAATAGACTTCAAAAATAAAAAAACAACATCATGCATTATATATGACAGCCAGTAATCTAGGTAATGATTTGCATTTATAAAAAGCACTAATTTGCGAAAGGAATTAAAATATACCCCTATGTTTCCCCAGAAAATTTATTCATCTTTTTTGGTATTTTATATTTTTATAAAAACATACAAATAAGCAAAATCTTACTTTGCACTCATTTTTTTCATCGACAACGTTTAAATCGACATATTTCGTTAATATTTGTAAAATCGACAACTGATCGGCTGATAGAGGTTGTTGATTTGCAAGAATACAATTTTCTATCAATTTTGAAGGAATATGTGACTCTGATGGACTAAAATTTTCATCCCAAGATAAAATTCCGTCATTAAGTCGACTTTCATAATATCCTTTTTTAGACCCCTAAAAATAATAATTTTAAATTCTTCTAACAGCGCTCACCATTTCTGATTTAGCTGGTCCAATTAGTTGGTGAGACGAGATACATTCGCCAGAGATTTACTTTGGAACAGAAGGGTCCCCCATCACCACTCTAACTTCACTTTTACTTTTAATGAAATACTTTTATTCCTATTAAAGGCAATCATGGAGAATCCTCAATCCAAACAACATATTTTAATGAAAATCAACCAACATCGTCATCGTGAAGTTTTATTTATTAATTAAAAATGAATAAAGTCCCGATTTACCTGGAGATTAATTGTCGCAATCGAAGGCATAAAAGTATTAGCAGAATTTGATATTCTTTCCTTACAAATTGGATCAATTATCTTTGAGAAATGCTCGCTGAAGTAATCCAAACGTTCTGTCTTATTTCCATTTGCTGGATCATTTTCCAACTTTCTTTTCCTTTTTATCATTCCTTGACTTCTAAAATTTTTCTAAAATTCTGCCTGAAATGAATCCTCAAATAGAAAAAACACTTCCCTATTGTCTAACACCATGCCAGGTTTCCCAATGTTTTTTCTTTCTCTTCTTTTATCATATTTTATATATCAACATTTTACCACCTTATAATCCCTAATAGAAATTACTGCGTTTAAGTAACGAATTATCGAATAAAATTCATTTGTTGTTTTATATATCTGAATGTGAATGTGAATAAATGTGAATGAAAAAAATAATAAGCAGCGGATAAGCTGATTGCTATACAAATAAGGCGATATCAAATATTTGATCGCTTGACGGAATGAAATTATCATTAAAGGTGAAAGTGGCCAAAGTAACTCTAATGTACTCTAGTGTAATAACCTAATCGCCAGTACAACGAGTCAAACAAGCAATGATGCATGCCACTAAGAAGAAAAGAAGTAATTCCAACTGTCTTAACTAAACGGACACTGAAGCTGACCAAATGAAACGGCAAACATTAGAAGAAAACAACATAACCAGTAAACTGTAGAAACTACGAAATTGCAACAAATAAAAAATTTTTGTCGGACCGCAGAACCACCTGAATCTGATTTTTAAAGATAGGCTCACCCTTGGACAACGGGTGCTTGTCTTAGATGAAGTGATAGTCCTCCGCCACACTGCGTCGTTCACTGCTGAACATTCCTCATTCGAGCCTGGAAAACGAGCTCCACTAGAGACAAATCGAAAAAATTTTCCATTTGAGCGTTGAATATTCCAGCAATTCACAAAATAATTCGCGTGGCATTTGATTTATTCATATAAATTAGCGAATAAAAATTTCTTACGAGTTATAAGCAAAACAACGCAGATAAGCGCAGTGAAATTGGGTTTTTTGCACAGAGCGTATCATAAAATGAAAATTAATGAAAATATTATTCGACAAGTAAGAACTATTTTTATCAATTTCCTTCCCAAGGAATGAACAGGCGATAATTTTTTTCAGCTGAAAAATACAAAACTATCTTCACAACTTCGAAATCTCAACAAAGGTTTTTAACTTGTACCGCGAGCTTCTTTGGGAAAAAATTTGCATCATTATTATCGCTAATATCTGACTAAGGTGCAGCAATTGGCTTATTTATGAAGATAAGGAAAAGAAAAATGTAGAAAAACCCGTTTTTGCCCAAATACGAACAAAAGGACAATGATGGGAGGCACAGTCGATGAGAAACTGTCGCTTCAACCTCCGCTATGAAAAGCATTTAAAGAAATTGTATCAGATAGGATCCATCACGGCCCTAACACAACGGGCAATTCATCTTCGCTATGTTGTTTCTTCTTCCACGATCTCCTTTTTTCGTTGCGCTAATCGTCGCGTAGATCATCATATCTCGGAATATCGGTTTAATTAGCCAAGTTTGAGACTGCGGAAACTTCCAATAAACCACGCTAGGACAGTTCCAACCGAGTGGAGCGGGATTGAATTCTTTTATGTTGGGGTTAAAAGCTATTCGGCCTTTTTATTGTTTTATCCTCATAACATTGCGGAACTCTACCAAAAGATTGTCAAAAAATGTCTACGACGACCAAACTCCAAATCCAAGAAAATCTGCAGAAGGTCAAAGAATATTGCGAAATGAGTGGGAACGCGATGAGTTGGCAAGGAGCCAATTTAGAGATTAGCCAACTTGAAGTGAAATATGGGGAAGCAACTTAACATCGTAAAAGTGAATGTATTGGAACCAGCATTTGGTTTGCTTTATAAGCCTTATCAACAAACTAATTATCGACCAAGGAGGATCATGAAGAGGGCGCTGATAAGGCAATAAGTTGATAAGTTTTCATGAATTCAGAATATGCACTCCTATTTAGTGGCACAACACCCAAATTAGTGAATGAATAGAAAAGATTCAAATGTATAAGAAGACATCCATAAAGCAAAAGGAAAGCTAGACAAGGGCCAATGAAGCACGAAAAAGAAAAAAATGCAGTGATGTCGATGAATGACCCAATGAAGGATATAAAAGCTTGGCAGACGAAGCCTGAAGAAGTGGAAGCAGTCCGACCTTAAAAGTCTTTTTACTTTTGCGAGATCCATAGAGAAGGCAGAAACACCTTCGACAAAGCTCTGGTTTATTATTTATTTATAGCTTATTTAATTACGCGGTCATCCAGTATTTACAGCTTGAAAGACGAACACAAAGCTACATATCGTATTCTTAGGAATGGAAATGTGCATCCTTAAAGACAGTTGATTGCAAAGGCCGATATTTCTCAACGATGTGATGGCATTTTGAGATCGCGAATATACAAAATCATAGATAGCGGACAATGAGAAATCATAATAGTTGCCGACCTTCCATCAAATTGAACCTAACATAATATCACACGACTTCCTAATGGTTAAAAGATGGCCGAAACCAAGTGAAAAGGATTGTATACAGATATATAGCTTTATAAGAATTTTGTTTGGTAAGCTGAAGTCCTTTTTATATTAGCGACAATAATAAGCCACCATTTATCTACTTTATGAGTATCTACTTTACCAGTAGCAGATCTTAAATATTTATGTTAACAATGTTATGGTACCCACAGATAATATTAAAGAGTCACTTCGATGATATAGAGATTTAAAAAAATTATTCGGCAACATAAAAATGGACATACTGCAGTTCTTAAGCAATAATTAAATTCAACGAAATGATACCGAAAGAAGACCAACGAAATTCTTACGAATTAATTGGGATCACTCTTAAGACACTGAATTTATGATACAAATCGCAAGTCAAGTCCTACCAAACTCCAACTATTATAGTTTATCGCTTCTATATATGATCCATCAGCATACAGTAGACGTATGTTTTTTATCCATCTACAATCTTTGTGGCGCTAAGATGAGATGAAATGAGATAAAAAGCTGCAATGAAACAAAGCTTGGAAACAATAACTCATGAACTCAACATATTTAAACATGGGATGAGTACACTTTTCTGAACTAGATACAATTTAGATGGAAAGCGGTGGAAATATATTGTTTCTGCAACCGGTCAGCGTATGTTTATACAGCTGTTATCAGAAATGAGCAGATCGATCGAAGACCGACAAAAGTGCGGCTGCAATTTTGTGTCGATTCTATTTTTTTTGGGACACAAATTATTGTTCGATTTTATTGATAGCTAACGGTGGGCTGAGGGTAGGCTAACGATTTTATTAAGATATGTAGTGTAATTCTTCACTTTTTGTTTATATTATTTTATAATTTATTTATAATTTATTATAACGTAATATATCGTCGCCTAATTTTGCCATTATTATTATATTGTTATATAAAAAAGATTTAATTACCCAAGTTTGAGGTGTAACGAACAATCAATTAATTACAATACTTTTTTTAACGGAAAGGGATATCCGAATTAACAAGAGAGGACAATACGAATTTTCTTTTTTAGTTACATGGGAACTCAGCCGACGAACGAATATCGAAGACTACGAATTCGATTAAAAAGGGTTATGTTATTTTATCTTTTTATTTTTGATTATATTCTCAAAAAACTACGCGACAGTTTTAAAAGATTATCAAACATAGGAAATGTCTACGATCAAATTCCAAATCCAAGATACACTAACAATTTTGCGCGAAAATGGGTAAGTTGCAAAAAATAATAAAGTTACGAAATGAGCGGAAATACGAGGAATTAGCAGGGAACGAACTAGAGAAGTGTATCAAAGGGATTTGAAAGTATGAAAAGACAAATCAATGATATAGTTGAGCTTAAATTAACTCATAGCACTAGCCGGGGAACCCAAAAGGGGAAAAAGCATGCGAAAATTTTTTTTTGACGATCCATCTGTTCAAGGATCGATTAGTGAGGAAATTAGGTTGAATTAGGTTTCGTTAGTAATGAAAAAAGGATGAAATGATGGTTAGCGCTATTTATATGAGCGATTCATTTGGAGACATTTTATCTACAAAAAGTTTCTTACTGGCATTACGAAAATTATTGGCGATCCGAAGCAAAACGAGAACGATATTGTCTGGCAGTGCGAAGAATTTTATTTTGTCGAAGGACACAATCAAGAAAATTCAATCGAATATTGCCGAAGAAGAGGTCGAGTGGAACCTCATCCCCAAATAATACGCCCATGAGAGGGGTGTATATGAATGATTGATTGGTATAATGAAAATTACGCTGAGAACTTTGATTTGAAAACAAACAATGGACGATGAGAATTTTCAAACTATAATATACGTTATAGGAGCGAAGGACCACTGTACAAGAAATGTTCTCGAATATTTAGCCTGGGAGATTTATTATTACAATAATGACCACCTTGGACATTTCAGGTTGAGAACATCCATAAGAAACTCGAATCGGCGCGAAATGTACGCAGAGAAGACTTATTGCGGAACTGGGCAACCGACACAAAATATTTGGATTATATTTGATAATATTTGGAAAATATTTGGATTTTTAGAAATTATGGCGGAGAAGATATCTGCAAAGTTTACTAGAGATGCGGAATATGAATACATGAACGAAATCGATAACACACCGTCAACCTAAAGATGAGGAAATCGTCATCTTAATTGACGCTGTGCCCAGAGCTCAGTGGAGATTAGGAAGAATTACTGAATTGATCCGAAATTCCGATGGTAAAATACGCTCCGTTTTATTGAAATTGGCTAATAATTGGACAACGAGTCGATCAAACAGCTTGATAGTTCCATTGGAGATAACTAACGATGTCGACAATGGTATAAACAAAAAATAAATAAGTGGTTACCCTTCTCCCTCACCAATCAACTATTAATAAATAAAAATACTTTGAATTCACATTTATGTTTTTAAATCAAAACATTGAATCACATTTTATTATTTCGATTATTTCGATATAAAACCCTCTGTTCCACATAAATCATTTGTGCTTTTATTTTTACAGGCTAAAGTTATTTAAATTTAATCAAAATCCATAATGATTTTGCAGATTGTAATTGAAGCATTTGATTTAAAAATATCTGCTTAAACTGGATCTCTATCCCAACCAAATCAATAAAAAATTACTGCAGATAGAACCATAATCTATTTATTGCACCTTCTGTTAATCGACATTCCACTATTTTTCAATCTTTTGCAAGTACTAAACATACTCATCTTATCAAAAAAAAACTTTTCATACCTTTCATTCGATTAGAACGTACCTTCACATAATCTCGATGGGATTGTAAAAAATATTTAAAACCAACTTTAAACCGGTATTTAATAACAAGAATATTGGTATTGCAGAGCCTAAAATTAAGAAATTTTAATAAAAATTTTTAAATGTATCTTAGCGTCCCGATTACCAAAACTAACCAAAACATAATATTTAAAAATAGAATATATAATATATATACCAGATACTTAAAATGAACTTTTGAGCCACAAGTGAATTTCAACCATATTATCGAAATTTTTGATTATCAAAAATCATTTGCTTTTACCTTACAATCTGAAGTTTTTTTCTAAATTGTTTCTCACTATTTTTAAATTAATTTAAAATAAAATTGAAAATAATAAAATTAAAAATAATTAAATTAAAAATAATTAAATTAATAAAATTAAAAATAATTGATTAACAACAAAAAAATTGCAAACGATGAGCTTTTAATATAATTTTAATTTAAAACAGAATAGAAAGGCTACAAAACGAGAATTCGTTAAAACACAACGAATAAATACAATAATATTATGATATAAGAAATGCAAGGAATTATAAAGCGACTAAATTGCATTTGAACATTTCATAGAAATTTCAAAAATAATGATAATACCAAGACATTTTCTAATAAGAAATTTGGTGAGAGAACAATATATATTCTTGTAAAATCACAATCATAAAAATAATATAAAATATCACAAAAAATTACTGTTCGTTTTGCGGATTTTGTTCCTGTCGCATTGCGTCAGGAATTGGAGGAGGTGATGAAAGTTCATCGATTATAACACCATCATCTTCTGCAACAATCGATCTAACATGCAAATACGGAAAAAAAGTTTGAAAAAAACATGGATATAAAAAATTATGGAAAAAATGTGATAGAGAGAACTCTTAAATTTGTAAATAAATTTATAAATTATGTAAATTTTCGCAAGAAAAAAGGAGAAAAAGAAAAAACAAACCGTCTCTTACGCATAATGCAATAACAGCCGGACTTTGTGCCTTTGTATTTTGCTGTGTAAAACCATAATGGGAAAGGAGCTGCAAATCGTCAAGAGTCTGCCATGCATCATCTTCACTACGTTTAAGTAATTCTTGTTTTGAAACAGGAATCTAGAAATTGTAAATTCACAACTGTGTAGAACAATCAAATAAATATATAAAATATTTATAGAACAATAAGTTTATCGTCAAAAATTATTCAATAAAAATAGAAAAAATTTCGTATTTCAAATTTTTTCAAATTTTTATTTTTTCCTAAAAATTTTTATAACAATGCCAGCAAAAATCGAGTAAATAATGCGACCTAGACTATTAAAAAAACGTGAATTTCTACATACTTCTACATTTACTTTCAACCTTACGTCCATTACAAATGTTTTCTGCACTAGCTCCTTGGCAACATTTTCTTATGCTCCATACAATCACCTCTCGCGCTATAACTCCTCTCTAAAATAACTATCCTGATAAAGCTGATGCGATATGAAAAAAAACATCGCAGCAAAGAAACACTAAAGAAGCCCTAGCGCAGGCGTTTAAGAAACATAATGGCCATCGAGGAGATATAAGGGGATTTGAGGATTTTGACCATAAGTAGAAGTCATTATTAGTTTGAAATAAATTTGAAATAATTTGCAAAGCAATAAAAACAAGTCAATCATTATTTGAACCTTTAAGATTCCTTCAATAATTCGCTTCAATTCAAGTACATTTGCCGATTCGGCTGCATCGCAAAAAATATGTGTCTTCCTTCTTACAATTTCAAAAAAAAGATCCTGCTGAAAAAATTTATTTACTGATTAAAATTAAAATATTTCAAACTTTTCAAACTTTTAAAGGGAGAAAATTTTCCAAAAGAAACAGCCGACTGGAAATAAAATAGAGAAAATCTTCAAGATTATGCAGAAACAGAAAGAACCGCCGATAAAATCAAAAATTGGAAAAATTTTAAATATTTTTAAATATCAAAAGTAATGAAATATTTTAAAAAAGACTAAATGTTTGAATATTAAAAAATATTAATTTTTAATATTCAAATGTCAAAAGAATTTTAAATTCATCTGTAAATATCAAATAATTTACTAAATCACAAACCATAATCAAATATCAGCACAGTCGTTTTGATCTGAAATTTCAATAGCAATAGAATTCTATATTGTTTAATTGTACGAAACCGAATTTATCTTCAATAAAAAATAAATTAAGCGAAATAGGAGAATAACAATATATGAGCAAAAAACATCACAAAAATCAAATATTGTTTCCAGAATGCCGTAGAATTGAACGAAATTCCAGATCGCACTGAAGGGAGCGAGAAAATGAGGCAAGCGACGGCGGGTCGCTGATATTTGAACGTATTGTCCCTGCATGTTTCATTGGTCACATCATATCGACGCCCAAGTCCAGCTTCAAAAATGTTACGTTTCTGGCATCTCTCTTCATACCAGATAACACTAATTCATTTTTCCATACCAGTGAATACATTATTTAAAAAGAGTTGTGAACGATGCTGAGCAGCATTTATCATTATTGCAATCATATAGAAAATTAAAAGATGACTTTAAAACAACGAAAAAAACACTTGGTATTGTGCTGAGAGAAAATAAAAAAATAAACTTCACCAAATAATTCAGTGAACAAAGAAGAAATAGACCAAGTGTAAATCAACCGATTATCCTCTATTTCTTCTTCTAACACCTCTTACCATTACTGGTTAAGCTGGCTCCGTTGGCTACCAGGATAAAACGTCTTGAAGTTGTTCGGTCCGACGTCATTGCTGAAAATAATAGAAGCCATTCTTTTTTCCATCGTCTAAGTCCAAATGCCGCTGGTCCACCTATACGTTCAAAATCTTTTCTGACCGTATCAATCCAGGTCTTGATTGGTTCACTTCGCTTTTGACACCAACCATCACACGATTTAGCAAATAACGAAATATGCGTCAACTCCTGTGGTGGACGACGGAAAATGTGCTAACCAGCGAAGGCAGCGCTCTGTGATAACATTATTTATGCAAGTAGTATTTGAACGAAGGTGAATGCGATCTTGTGAGATTTTATCCACTCGGCGAACCCGTAAAATATACCTTAGATAAGAGCGGTCAAAGGCAGATAATTTCTTAATATTCTCCATTCTCATTGGCCATGTCTCAGAACCATATAGCAAGATCGAACGGATCACGACAATATAGATGCGGACTTTCGTTTTTATGGTGATTTCACGACGACTCCATAAAGGTTTCGAAAACCGGAAGAACCGGAAGACCGGAAGCATTTCTAGCCGCGGTGATCCGAATTGTAATATCATCTTTTCCCTGACCATTTGGTATTAGAGTGGACCCAATGTATTTGAAATCGGGCACTTCCTCAACTGGCAATGAATTTATAAAAAGAGGCATTTTATCAGTTAGCTTCTTGCATATAAGACGAAAAGACTTTCGTTTTATTTTGATCCTGAGTCCGATTCTTGCTGCATTAGTCGAAATAGCATGAGAGACCCTCGCTGAGCCGTCAGTATTACACGGATTTTTGGGCAGGTTTGCTCATACCGAGATAGAACCTCAGCACCATCGTTTTGATGCAGCAACCCATTGAACTATTCTCTTTTTTTCCTTTTCTCCATCAGGCGACAGTTTCTGATACGTTATTTAGTATTACTTGCATTTCGTTATAATTGTCAGCAAAAAGGACTACATTATCAGCGTATTCAAGATCTGTGATACGATGCTCTGGACTAATTCGGACACCTCTTGAGTACCGACAAGCAGTGTCCATTATCCAGTCTATTGCATAGTTGAATATTGTGGGGGAAAGGACGCAGCCCTGACGGACACCTGTTCTTATTTCGAAGGAATCCATCAGCTCCCCATATACACTGACCTACGCCGACGTGAGCTCATAAAATGCCTTTAGCCTAATGATGCCTAATGATTTTCTATGAAACACCATCACGTTCCATCACCCTCCAAAGCGCCGCTCTATCAATTGAATCAAAGGCAGCCGCAAAGTCGATGAAACACGCGACAGTGAACCCATTGACTGATATAATTTGAATTAAATAAATATATTTTTTTCCATTCTTATTTTAAATAAATATATAATAAATGAAGTGAAGTTTTTATATAATTCTTAATTCTATTTAATATCACACTTCATTTTATTTTACGATGCTCCTCTTTTTATCACTTACAATTAATTGATCAAAAGCATAGAAGAATTTGTAAAAATAATGACATCTAATCAAAGATTTAAAATATTTTATTATGGAAAAATAAAGAACAAACAAGAAATCATATTTAACATAAAATCATATTTATGAGAAGAAAACATGATAAGATGGGGAAAGGTTGAAAAGTACGGCAAATTCGACTCCATACCGACTCGATTCCCTTTCGGAGCATAAGCAAACACCAGCCGTTAAGAAGCGGCTTGCTGGCGACCTGTGTGCCCTTTCATCGCCAAGCAAAATTGTCCCCCACTCTCTGGCAAAAAAGCTCTAACCGCACCAACATGTTAGTGGAGTTAACTTAGCCGAAAATGCAGTGCCCACCACACTTGCACAATAAGAAAGCATGCAAAATCACCGACACATCCGATGATTACCCCTGGAAATCGGTTCTCGAATTCGCTGTGAGATTTGCAATGAACTTTAGTAGCGCAAAATTATGCTTCCATTAAATCGTCCTTAATTTTCCTTTCCTTGCATGCAAGATTCTTTTCCGAAGAGCCGGCTTCTTTCAGAGTAAATCCAGAGTGGATCTCGAGCGAGAACTCTAGTTTGATTTTTCCCATGATTCGCCCGCTTGTTCTCCGAGCTATTTTCAGTATTCTGAGGAGTCTTCTCCAACTTCCAGTTTAAAGCACCAGTGTACTTTTCCTCTTTATTTCCTCGAAGCCCAACTCTCGCATCACAGCAAATGCCTTGGCTTAGGCTTAGGTATAGTCACTTCGAATATTTTTTCCTAGGCCTTCGTGGTGCTTCGCCCATTGCTTATTCGCTCGGTATTTCTTCATTACCTGTACTTTTCTTGTTGAAATGTTAATTTACATATCAATTCGTATATAAATTCGCAGGCATTTCCAGGGCCTTAAAAGCTTTTCGAATCATGATTAACCCATCAACCTATTTTCAAATCACCACAACACACCAACACTTTTGTTTTTCTGTCACAAATATGCGTAGTTGTGCTCTTTTTAATAAGTTCAAATAACGACGGAAGTTTCACCACAGAACAAACAACTTGTTGAAGTATGCATAGTGCTACTGTATGACTGTAAAATTTATATGGGGCTATTAATTTCATGAAATAGTCCAGCTTTCCCGACTTCAGGATTTGTCTAAGAAACGAGGTTTCCGAGAAGGACACTGCGAATTGCTGGTATGAAGACTGTGGAACCGAATATCTCAATAGATAAGCATTGTTTGGGAGCAACAGAAACATTCTTAGTGCGAATTATGGAGTTGATTTAAAAGTCTGGTTTTCTTAAGGATCAGCGTGAGTAGAGAGGAATAGGGGAAAAGAAATAGGAGAGTGGAATTGAAAAATGGGGGTTTGGTTTTTGATTATCAATTTCAGGTGTTACTTTAGGGTTTTTCCATAGGGTTTTTTGCGTCATCGTCATTGTCGCCTTCTCTGTCGTCTCCAGTCCAAACCACCCATTCTTTACTTCCATTTTTTCATGTATATGAACAAACCATATATGTCTGCGAAAAAGAAGAATTATAGACAATGTGACGTCTTAAGTGTAATTTTATATATTTGCCACATTACTTATGTGTCTGATTTGCCAAAACATGTCTGAAGCCGTCTGGACCGAATGATCACTTAAAGATGTTCAAGCTGGGGCTCATGTCTAAAAAGCAAAAAGTGTTTAAAACGATAAGCTTGTTTCAGTTCATCCGAAAAAATATGGGCTATATTCCTCTTTTGCTCATCGCCAAATCAAGGAAATCGCACCCATATTAGCATCATTTAATAATAAAGAAAATTGCTTGAGCAAAAATATAATGCAGACGATTAGATTAAATGGCATGGGTTGAAATTTCATTATGTAAGCACCCAGCCTTCAATACAGATCGGTGAATCTGACGGTGGTGCTCGGCTTTTGGC